GAAAGCAGTAGAGGATGGCCCAAAACCTTGGGACCCTGCACGCATGTGGGAGACCCAGAAGAAGCTCAGCTCTGGCCATTGTAGCCATTTGGGGAGTGAGTCAGCAGATGGAAGATCTTTTTCTGTCTCCTCTCTGAGACTACCAGAGGCAGAGGGTCAGGGGCTGGAAGGGAGCCCACACACTGCATTTAGTTCCTGTTTGATGGGTGAGAACACTGAAGCCCAGTAGCACAGCAACAACTCGTCCCAGCCTGCACAGTCACCTGATGATGAACACAGCTTCCTGATGCTGTTCTACTACTTTTTCCAAACCACTTGGCCCATGTGTGACCGAGTTGATGACGATGATACAGGACTTAGACCAAGGGGAAATGCCCCAAGGTGTTCAGTGTGAGACGGTAGCTCTTCCCAGGGGTTTGCTTTGGGTTTTGGCTTGATTTTGGTGGCTGTGTGGTTGGTTGGTTGGTGGAGGGGTTGGTCAGCGTCTCCCTGCTCTGGGATGTGTGATTCCAGGAGAGATGTCAGATTCGTTACTTGCTGCCCTGGGATGTTCCTCCTTCCCGATTCCCCTGCTTGTCCCTGAAGCTTCTTCATTACATCTGTGCTAAAATCTCAAAACTATGAAGAGGCTTCCCTCCAACCTGGCTCTCACAGGGCTCTGCTCACATCCATTAGGTCAGCCTCAATAGGACTGAAGCTGCAACTTCCACAACACTTCACATCCTTGTAACCCAGACAGCACCGGGGAGACAGAAGTGGGAGAAGGGCCTGTCTTCGCTCCACCTCCAGATGAGAGTTACCAAAGGCTGAGTCTGACCCAGCGAATGCTACCCTGCAGCAACCATCCCAGCCCCAAAGCCAAACGGTTCCCATCTCCCTGGCTGCTCCTCTTCTCCTGCCTCTCTGCAGGAGAGATGTCATTCACCAAGCCCCACCTCTGGTACCTCCCTCCTCTTCCTAGGGTGCTCTTCCTCTGGGTCCCAGATAAAGAGAATTCACTTAGTAAGAAGAGTACCCACAGGCAAAAGGCAGAGTGGTCCAAGGACAGAAAACGCAGACAGTAGCGACAGCGCAGGACAAGGGGAGAAGCTACCCCCCTAGGCCTGTGACAGCTTCAGTCAAGTGGAGTCACGGCCACCATCCTGAAGGAGGGAAGTTGGTGGCAACCAAGTGCCACCCCCCCCCCCCGTCTGCGCTCTGAACTCCTGCTGTTCCCTCACTGGGGAGGAACCCTCCCAGGCACTAAGGGCCAGAGGAGGAGAGGCAAGGCCAGAGGCAGCTTGAGCACCCCAGGCCCTAAGCAGCTGAGCTGAGCTCAGAATGGACTGTGCAGGGGAAGGTGAGGGGCAGACCGAGAAGAGCACAGCTGCCTTCTCTGATTCCCTCCTTATAGCTGGGAAACTGAGTCATTCCCTATCCCAGGGGAGAGCCACATCCACCCACTGGGCAGCTAGCTTTTGCAGGGCAGGCGCTCCGTAAGTGACGGCTTTATTAACAAATTAGGGCCATGCTGAAATCTCTGCCTCTTTCATTTACTTTTCATTATGACCTCCTCAGGTTTAGTACTTTGGATCAGTGCTGTGGCATTGCACATAAAGCTGCCAACTTTGGTGCTGGCATCCCATAGGAGCGCTGGTTAGAGTCCTGTTTGCTCTTCTTATCCAGCTCCCTGTTTATGATCTGAGAAAGCAACGGAGGATGGCCCAGGTATCTGGGCACCTGCAGCCATGTGGGAGACCTGGGTGAAAGCTCTTGGGTTGGATCCCCCACAATGGCCAGGGCTGGGCGGGTTAGAAGACTCCTGTCTTTCACTCTCTCTTTCTCTGTAACTCTGCCTTTCAAATAAATAAATCTCAAAAACAAAAATAAAACAAACAAGAAACCTATGTGTATCTTTCCTGAAAAAAAATGTAAATACACACAAAACTGTATACTTTAAAAAGATAATAAGTGCTTTGTAACTTACTCTTTGATGATAAATAAAGACCATTTCCTGTCTTATCTTTTGAAAAATGTAGGGTGGGGGGGTTCTACTATCACTATTTAGTTAAACAATTATTACTTTATCCCCTGAGAATAATGTTTCAAGTGCTGGATGGGTTAAAGATGACAAGGGACTCGACTGTTCCTGGCAATGTTATACACTAAGCGTCAGGTAGCTTTGCTTGTTGGTAACCAAGTACTAAGACAGCAAAGGCTGTATTAATCCTGAGACTCATAACTGGGAGGTATCTGGCGTGGCCATGAGGGCACCACGTGTGATGCCAGCATCCTGAGTTGGAGTCCGCCTGCACTTGCAGTCTAGCCCCGGCTAATGCGTTCTGGGCAGCAGCCATTGGTGGCTCAAGCACTTGGGTTCCCGTCACTCCTGCAGGGAGACCCCCAGTGAAGTTCAGGCTCCTGGTTACATGGCCTGGCCTACAGCAAGCTGTGGTAGGCATTCAGAGAGTGAACCAATAGGTGGAAGACATGTCTTCTCTCTCTGTCCTTCTACAAAAACAAAAGTAAATAATAGTAATGGGTATTACGATATATTGAGCATCTATTAAATACTTTAAACTTGTTGATCTTCAAAATCTGAGGGCCTGGCATGGTAGCCTAGTGGCTAAACTCCTCACCTTGCAAGCACCGGCATCCCATATGGGTTCTGCAGCTCCACTTCCCTTCCAGCTCCGTGCTTATGGCCTAGGAAAGCAGTAGAGGACGGCCCAAAGCCTCGGGACCCTGCGCCCACGTGGGAGACCTGGAAGAGGCTCTTGGCTCCTGGCTCCCGGCTTCAGATAGGCTCAGCTCTGGCCATTGTGGCCGCTGGAGGAGTGAACCAATGGATGGTCTCTCACATGAGATGATTATTTTGGTTCAAAAAAATTTTGAAATGAGTGCACACAAACGGACCTTGAAAATGCTCACAGGAAATGTGTATTATGAAAAAACTGCATGGAATTTCACATGTCTTCTGCACCAGAATAAACTTATCTGTCTTAAATCCATTTCCCCACTAACATTTCAAGTTCCCTCAAGTATGGCAGAGTGAGCCTGAATTCTGAAGAGGCTGTAGACAAAACGGCCTTGGCTTTGGCAATCAGCTTCCTGATATCACAGTGCCCTCTGGTGGCCAATCAATGCCATGCATTTTTAATAACCAATTCCGTTTGGGATCAGACTTCAATAAAGCTGGTCAGGTCTATGTTCTGGCCAGTCTCTGTTCTCGGCTTCTACCCGGTGACCTCACATTCCTACGGACTGGAGTAGGCAGAGCATGAGCCGGTAGTCAGGCCAGCCTGTGCTCCAGCCCTAGCTCCCTAGCTCCACCAGTTAAATACCAGCCAGGGATCTGTTTTCCAATTGTGGAATCAATTTCAGGGCACCCTGGAGCTTCTGCCTCAGATCTTTCCTCCTGATAGCCAAATGTCCAATTTCAACACTACACCCATGGTAGCATGTTAAGCCTCTGTCTGCAGAAACAGCACCATATATGAGCACCAGTTAGAATGCCAGCTGCCCCATTTGCCTTTTTTTTTTTTTTTCTTAATTTGGGCCTGGCGCAGTAGGCTTGTGGCTGACATCTTGCCTTCAATGCCCAGGATCTCATATAGGCACCGGTTAGTATCCCTGCAGCCTCACTTCCCATCCAGCTCCCTGCTTGTAGCTTGGGGAAAAGCAGTAGATAATGAGTTAAAGCCTTGTGTGCTGCACCTGCATGGGAGACCCGGAAAAGTCTCCTAGCTCTTTGCTTCAGATCAGCTCAGCTCCAGCTGTTGCGCCCGCTTGGGGAACAAATCAGCGGACAGAAGATCTTCCTTTCTGTCTCTCCTCCTCTCTGTATATCTGACTTCCCAATAAAAAATTATTTTTGGTGTTTACATAGTTGAGCAGTATGTATGTCCATGTAGATCAGATTAGAGTGGGCAGGGTTAAGGTGTGGGGGAAAATGGCTGAGATAATTGCTTCCATTTTTTTTTTTTTCTTCCTGTATTGGGGAGGGAGGGGCAGAAAGGGGAGAGCCGCCTGAACACATCTGTACCAGGGACGTGGAACAGTCTCCGATGGCATCTGAGGATCCCTGATCCGGAGCATGTTCTGAGGGTGCTGCTGAGGTGGTTTCAACAGTTCTGGGTTGCTGTTGATTTCACTGCTCCACGGTTGAGGAAACCCCTCCAAGCTCCAGAGCCTGACAGTCCACCTTAGAATCTCCACTTGCCCAGATACTCAAAGCTTGGCCCAGTTGCAGATCTCCTGCACACTGGAAGCTGCTTGACCCAACCTGACTTGGGCTACCTCCTGTGGCATTCACGGGCAGGCACAGTGGCCTTGCCCAACCAGCCCACACCCATTCCAGCTCTTAGGTAGTGCTACAGCCCAGCCCTGGTCTGCATGTGGTTCAGTGGGTGCTGAGACCTAGCCCATCCCACACCTACTTTTGGCTTCTGTGAGGCACCAACAGGTACTGGAGCCTAGCGCAATCTGGCACACCCCCCCAGATCCAGTCCACATTTGCACCGAGAAATGCTGCAGCCATATCCAGCCCAAATTGCCACCCCCTCCTCTGGCTCTTGCACTCACCAGTGGGAACCACAGCCTGGCAGAGTTCCCTTAACTCTTGGATCAAGCCCGCTCCCAGCCACATTTCTGTCTTGTGCCAGTGGTTGCTCCAACCCAGCCTGGCATGGCTCGTCCCCCATCTTGGCCCTTGTCATCAGATGCTGCAGCCTGGCCTGACCTGGCCTTAATCCCAACTCTCACTGACGAGTACTGAAGCCTGGCCCTACCAGGCCTGCATCCCATCCTGGCCCCCACCCATTTACTATCTGTGCGTGTGTGTTTATAATAGGAGCTAACGAAGAAAACCACAGCTCATCATTTCACTTGGAGTAATTCCTGCTTTAAAACCAAGTGGTCATGTAAATGAGAAGGCAGACATATTAACTGATAGATAAGGAAGTGGCAAGACAATTATCTTGGTTATCTTCATATTGCAATATAACAAATAAAGTTAACGATTCACCAAAAAACACCTTTATTTTTTTAGTCTTCAAAAAAAATAACCTTTTTCCAAAATAATCATGATTAACTTACAAAAAATGGACACACAATATATCTTAAAAGCATTTCCCTTTAACGGGAAACTCAGCTTTCCAGGATAGAAACATTAAAAAGTTAAAAAACAAAACAAAACAAATGCAATAACAGTTGTGTTGTTGCCATCCTACGACAGCACAGGAGCCAGTGGAAAGCAAGGCAGGCGCTCACACTTCAGGCCCTTCTCCTCCGGGCACCAGCTGCGCAGGGAAGAAAAAGACTGATCAATAAAAACAACACTGCACCTACAGACCTGCCAACTGCTCCTCAGCGAGCAAGGCCACCGTGCCTCTCCCCGTCTGTCCCCAGTCACCAGGGCCACTGTGCCTCTCCCCCTCCGTCCCCACTCATCAGGGCCACCGTGCCTCTCCCCGTCTGTCCCCAATCATCAGGGCCACCATGCCTCTCCCACTCTGTCCCCAGTCATCAAGATGAGCTGCTGGTACCCAACAACACTCAGTGTCTCAACAACAGTGCCTAAGAGTATGCTTTGGGGCCCTGCCCTCAGGGCATCTCCCCATCCTAGGAGCCACTGGAGGTCAGTCACAGCTCCCCCAGCTGGCTCTGTAATTCCTGCCCCTCGATCATGACACATCAGCATCTAAATAAAACAGCTTTAAGTGGGGGGCATCTTACCATTGTTATATTATTTCCATTTAGCAAAATTTGATCTAATTTAGTGATCCTTCTTCCTTCTGGTGTGATTTCACTACAGATTAAAAACAGAACAAAAGCATTAACAGTGGCATCCAGGGCGGGGTGTGGGGAGCATTTGGGGGCTCCCTTTCCGCTCTTAAAAAAACTCATTTCTGCTTAGAAATTGAACCTCAGCAATTGTACAGGTAAGCTTCAGAGATAAAAGTTTCCCATGGGCAAATTCTTTACCACAAGAATTTGTGGGTAACAGAGGGGCCTGGCGGCTTTAAGACCTAAGCCGGTGTGTAACCAATGCCAAGTGTGAAAGCAGACGTGGTCACACCAACAGTCCTCACTGGCACGGTATATGATACAGGTCAGTGCCAACATGGGCACACCCTTGAAATGATGTCTTAAAATCCCCAGTTTTTACCCACACCGATTTCCTTAAACAGAGACACTCCCCCCACTGGTGTTGTGTTCTTTCTTTTTACCACGACTCACAATTCAGTGACATCTTCTAATACCATATCTGAGAGAGGCAGCGTTAAGGATATACAAATCCCAGCAGGTGCAAAACGGACTCTGGATGCAATCTTGAACCCAAAGTGGCTCAAACGCAGCAGGCCGGCTGTTGGCACCTCTGCAAATACTACTGCCAGCGCTCTGGAAATGAGCTGGTGTTTATCACAAACCCTCAGCAACACGCTGGCCAACTAGGATGCTAGGCTGGGAGACGGGTAAGGGGAAGGCAAAACAAAACAACAAAACAAAGCAAAACGAAACACAACCACAGCGGCCAAGTTTGGAAAAGGATACTGACAAAGTCATCAAAACCCAGGAGCGTGCCGACAATTTCTTTATCGCTCTTCATCACGATGTGGATTCTGGAGCCTATGCATTTATCCACCAGCTCTGTGTCAAGGGGAGCGGAGTGGGATTACACACATACACACATAGGGGCACCTGCTGCTCGCCTACTGGGAGCAGAACACGCACGAGATGCTAATCGAAGCAGACTGCCGGACAAGCCGGACACTGCTCGTTCAGTGAAGGGAAGGCGGAGGGAATGGCAAACGGGACGCGCGGCCTTCTCGCCCAGCCCGACACCCCACAGGGCGGACCTCCCTAACAACGCCGGCTTCCGAGCGCCCTTTCCCGCCTTCGACTCGGCTCCGGGCGTCCCGGCACTCTCCCGTCCACGCGCGGCGGCAGGGACGCGGAAGCCCAGCCGAGCCGAGCCGCGAGGCGCTCCCCCACCATGCCCCGCGGCCGGCGCCCCCCGAGTGCAGCCTCCCGCCCCCGGCCCCCCGTTACCCAGCGGCAGCAGCTGCGACGGGTTGGTCGTAGCGTTAGCCGCCATGGCGACGCCGGAAGGGGGCCTGCGTCCGGTGGCGACCGACGGCGACTTTAAACGAGCGCGCCTGCGCCTTGCGGCGCTACCCAACCCGGCAGACCCGACCAATCGCAAGCCGAGCAGGGTTCCAGGCCGGTGTTCGCTCGACGCCGCCTTCCAAACATCAATCTTACCAAAAGAACAATTCTACTGAATCATAGAAGCTACGCTTGACTTAGAAAGTCTACTGTTATTTTCAGTTATGCTTAGGACAGAATGGAAGTTACATCTCAAGACCAGAAATGAAAAATAAATGTTAAGATTACCTAAACTAAGGGATGTTCAACTAGTTAAGGGAATTTCATAGTCAGTTATGGTAATAATATCAAGTTCTAGTTGAAGCTCTATCCTTCAATTTGTTACAAAACTGCACTGGATAAAACTTGCTTAATTTGCTAGTATTCCCTTTAAAATGATATGAGATTTACTGCATCGAGTTAAAACATGTAGTGCAATCAGTAAAGTGATATCTAAACCCTTCTGATAACAGAGCTCATATATTTTGCAGAATATTAGACAGAATGTAAACAATTTTAAAAAGTGCAGCGCTAAAATAACTTTACAATGTTTCCATGTAAGCTTTCTTTATTGTCAACAATATCCTGCTTCAGGTCTTAACTTGCACCCAACTGCTGTACATATTCAAATGAAAAGAAAGAACAATTGAAACACAATAAAGCTCAGGTAAGCAATCCAAGATTGAATAACAAATTAAGAAGCTGCTGTGTGTTATTAGATACGTGAGTCAAGGCAGAGACTCTAGGCCAGAGACGCTAAGGCGAGGAAGGGAATGGAGAATGAACCAGAGAGTCATTTAAAAGAAAGAAGTGAAAGGAACGAAATTTAAGAGAAGTCAAAGACCTTAGCCATCCAACTCAAAGAGAGCAGGTGCAAGGGAAACCTCGCAAGCCCCGCCCCGTCCTGTAGCCCCCTTCCCATTGGTCCTGGTCTCCGTCAGCCCCGCCCACGTAGGCAGACCCCGCCCTCCACGCCGCTGGCGGCTACGAGTCAGGTGACAGCCCGGAAGCTACGGAAGCGGATGGAGGAAGTGCGGCCGCAGGCCCCGGGTGCGCGGCCCTCAGGAGGCGCCCTCGCTGACACCTGCCGCCCTCCGCGCTGCGTCCTCCGGGGGCCGCGAGGTCCGTCGGCCCGCAGCCTTCAGCGGTGAGGGCCGTCGCGGTGAGGGCCCGCGGTGGCTCCCCATGGAGACGGCCGGGAGGGGCAGCGATGGCAGCCCCCGGGGGCCCGTCCTGCACATCGTGGTGGTGGGCTTTCACCACAAGAAGGGCTGCCAGGTGAGGAAGGGGCCCGTCCCCCGCGGCGCTACCTGCCCTCCTCCTCCCCACAAGCCCTTCTTTTCTTTCTTCTGCCCCTGGACACTGAGACGGGCAGCGGAGGGGGGAGGGGGGCGTGAGAGCGAGGGACGCCAAGACGGGCCTTTCTTTCCCCCCAACTCGTCCCTTGCAAATGGAAATCTTGAGAAAGAGTGCCTGCACCCTGTTGTCACTTTATAGCGAGTGTCGTGAGCGTCCGCTGCGGCAGGTGGAGTGCACCTCCGGGGAGGTGGACTTGCGTTGTGGATGGGCTGGAGGGCTGAGCGCCCGTCCTGGGATGGCTGGCGTGGACCCGTCCCCCTTGGGCCTTGGGGTGTGCTGTAGGATCAAGGCCGGAGCTGGCGCTTGTGGGGCGATGGACCTCCCCCCCAGCAGTTGCGATAATGGCAAGTGTATTTACCAAGCACAATGTGCAAATAGAAAGGTGTTGTTCGGCCTAACTTTGCAAACCCTTGAATCCAGGGTCTGAAATGGAACATTCGTTGCGCAGGACTTGCAGGCAAAGCAACAAGACAGAAACGGGACTTCTGTCACAGGCGAGTTAACACCGGAAGGCAATGATGTCATGATCTGCTAATGAACAGTAAATTTAAAAATTTTTTAAAGAATTCAAAAATATTGATTTCCACCATTGGTAATAATACTTTTCAACTTGCCCTTCACACTCACACACACACAGAAATACTAATATTTTAGAAAGGATATTGGCAGGAGTTAAGTTCATTAAAGTGAACTTTAGCAAAAGTGGTGAAGGGAGTGGACAGAGGGCTGCGTCGTGTGTTTTAAAGACTGCTTCACTTTAAAACTTTATATTCCTCGTTCATTGCATAACGATGATGTAAAAAGATGCCAAGGAGGAAGTAGTGTTGCTCAGTGTGCTTTGAAAGGAATTCTATCCCAGAACAGTAAATCCAAGTCTTTATTTTTTTAATGAAGATTGAAGATTTATTTGTTTTGGAAGAGAGAGAGAGAGCTTCTGTCTGCTGTTTCACTCCCCAGATGCTGACAACAATGCCAGTAGCTTCATCCGGGTCTCCCTTGTGGTTGACAGGGACCAAATGCTTGGGCCATCTTGCGCTGCTTTTCTCAGGAAGGACACTGACTGGCACCCATATGGGATGCTGGCATCATGGGCAGTGGCGTTACGTGCTGTGTTGCAGTGCCAGGCGTGATCGTGGACAGAGAGTGATTTCAGATTGTCCATAATATGCAAAGGTGGTGTCCATCAGCAGCAGATATTTCAGTATGTGAACGTATGTTAAAACTCCAAATGCTTCAATGTAGTAATTGCCATGCAATTTTTTGTACATGTCCAGGGAGTAATTGACACTTTTGAGGAGGTGGAATGACCTTGCCAAGGTCATGCTGCCAAGCAGACCTGGAGAAAGACCTAGAATTGCATCCTGTACTATAGGTATTCATTCTGCTCTGGCCTTTCGGCAGTTTTTCAGGGCAAAAATGTGGTATATGGTGCTTTGGATAAGAAAAGAGAAATCTAGATGGATAGTGACAGAATCAAATCTCTTAATTTTTGCTGTCACCCGAAGTCAAGGTTGCTGTTTTGTTGGTGAAACTAGTTTCCATAAATTGTACTAAAGGAAGGAAAAAAAAAGAAAAGATATGTCAGACAAAAATGTAAAGCTGCCTAGAAACGTGATGCAAGAGGCACATTGGGCGGAAGCAGCCCTGTGAGTGTGTGGCCTCTGCCTTGGTCTCGGTGTGCGCCCTGAGGTAACGCAACTGGTTTTCTGAAATGGAGACCAGCTGGGACTCGGGAGGACTGGGACTTGTCATCACAGCCCCGTGACCAAGTCCAGGTTGCATAACTATGCTTGACCGTCTCCTTTCCTTCTCCCACGTTCTTTTTTTTTTTTTTTAAAGATTTAATTATTTTTATTACAAAGTCAGATATATAGAGAGGAGGAGAGATAGAAATATCTTCTGTCCTATGATTCACTCCCCAAGTGAGCGCAACGGCCGGTGCTATGCTGATCCGGAGCCAGAAACCAGGAGCCTCCTCCAGGTCTCCCACACGGGTGCAGGATCCCAAAGCATTGAGCTGTCCTCGACTGCTTTCCCGGGCCACAAGCAGGGAGCTGGATGGGAAGCAGAGCAGCCAGTCCCATATGGGATCCCAGCGCATGCAAGGAGGAGAACTTTAGATGCTAGGCTACTGTGCTAGGCCCAATAAACAATTTTTAGATTTGTTGTGTTCTGTTGCTTTTTCAAGAGCTAAAATTTTGTGATTTTAATGGAATTACTAGGTTTTGTCTGGAAAACTATAACTCACTAGTAATTCTGTTAGTTTCTTGTTTTTCCTTAATGGTGTTAGCTTTTTTCCAAAAACCCAAGACGCCAAACAGAGCGAGCGAGCCACGCCAGAGGTCCTTATTTCCGCAGAGGAAGTAGCTGTGGGGCAGGGAGAAAGCAGGAGTGGAGATAGATGGAAGAGTGGAGTGGAGGACAAGGAGAAGAGGAGAGAAGAGGGGAATGTGCTGGGGGGAATGGGGAGTGCCTGATCAGGGAATTAGACACCAGGGATACATGCCTCAGGGCATTGTTTGAACCCGCCGTCTCTAAGCTTACTTGGGCAAGTGAGCCTTCAGGGGGAAGACCTAGGAGAGTTAAGGTGGTACTAGGTAAGCAGGCAATCAAGTGGGCCCTGTGTCCAGGCTGGTGGGGTCAGTCTCAGGGTCTCTGTTTTGAGTCATTTCTTACAAATGGAGTTTGGAGGGCCCAGTGCAGTAGCCTGGTGGCTAAAGTCCTCTCCTTGCACATGCCGGATCCCATATGGGTGCCGGTTCATATTCCTGGGTGCCCCGCTTCCCATCCAGCTCCCTGCTTGTGGCCTGGGAAAGCAGTCGAGGACGGCCCAAAGCCTTGAAAGAGACCTGGAAGAGGCTCCTGGCTTCAGATTGGCTGCACTTGTATTTTTAAAAGATTTATTTATTTCACTTGAATATTGGAGTTCAGAAAAAGAGAGAGAGGGAGAGACAGAAGAAAGAGATGAAGATCTTTCATTTGCTGGTTCGCTCCCGAAGTAACCACAACAGTCAGGTCTGGGCTGGCCTGAAGGTGCCAGGGACTTCCTCCAGGTCTCGCTCATGGATGAAGGGGCCCAAGGCCTTGAGCCATCCCTTGTTCCTTTCCCAGGTTATTAGCAGGAGCCTGATCAGAAATGGAGCAGCTGGGATGCAGACTGGCACCCACGTGGGCTGCCTGCACTGCAGGCAGAGGATTAGCAATCTATGCCTTCACACCAGCCCCTGCACTTGCATTTGTTCACTCACCATGCTCATTGTTCCCAGCTATGCTGTGTTTATACTGAGAAATGGCTACTGGGTTTGTTGGGGTTTTTTGTTTGTTTTGTCTTTTTTTTTTTTTTAAGATTGATTTGATTTGATTTGATTTGATTTGACAGACAGTGTGACAGAGATCTTTCATCTGCTGGGCCACTCTCCAGATGGCCACAACTTTTAGGTCTGGATCGGGCTAAAGTCAGAAGCCAGGAACCCCATCCTGATCTCCCACATTGGCAGTAGGGGTCCAGATACTTGGGCCATCTTTTGTTGCCTTCCCAGGGACATCAGGAGGGAGCTGGATCAGAGGCAGCTGGGACTCAAACCTACACTCTGAAACTGGATGCTTGCTGGATGTAGCACTGAAGGTGCTGGCTTAATGTGCTGTGTCACAATTCTGCACCCCATTATTAGGGGCTAATAATAACCCTGCAGCCTTCACTGGTGAAATTAGGAATTCATTAGGCTCTGTGGAGAATGGTACACTCCTACAAATTAGAGTTAGTTTTGCTTCATGTAAGCTCAGTGTTAAAAATAAATTGGTGGAGAGTGTTTGGCTTAGCAGGTAGATCACCGCCTGAGATGCCCACATCCCACGGGGGAGTGCTTGGCTCCAGTCCAGCTGCTCTGCCTGTGACGCAGCTTCCTGCTAACGCACCTGCTGGCAGGCCGCAGGTGATGGCCGTGGTCCTGGGGGCCCTGCCAGAATGTGGGAGACCAGGGAAGAGGTCTGGGTTCACAACCTCAGGCTGGCCCAGCCTTTGTTATTGCTGCCTATGTGGGAAGTGAACCAGCAAGTGGAAGACTGTGTATGTGTGACTTTGTATTAAACATAGATGAAAATAAACATTTAAGCAATTTAAAAATCAAATCTTTCTGCTGTGCAACAAGTCACAAAATTCCACAACATCCAGTATTTTCAGAAAAGCTTTTTCAGAAGTTATATTTTATTCATACAATTTCCTTTCTTTAAATTGTTAATTCTGTGTGCAGATCTGGGACTGAGGAATAATTGTCCACTAGTGTTCTTTAAGTTTTGGGCCTTACTGCTGGTTCATATCCTGGCTGCTCCACTTCCCTTCCAGCTTCCTGCTTGTGGGCTGGGAAAGCAGCCAAGGTTGGGCCAGATCCTTGGGACCCTGCACCTGCGTGGGAGAGCCAGAGGAGGCTCCGGGCTCTTTTCTTCGGATCAGCTCAGCTCCTGCCATTGCGGCTGCTTGGAGAGTAAGCTAGTGGATAGAAGATCTTCCTCTCTGTAAATCTGACTTGCCAATAAAAATAAATATTAAAAAATTGTGGGACTTACAACTCTATTTTAAATGGAAGAAATCACTTAAATAGTAGCTGCGATTTTTGTTGTTGTTAATAATGATTTGTTCTATTTATTTGGAAGGCAGAGTGACAGCAAGTGAGAGGCAGAGGTTTTCTATTTGCTGGTTCACTCTCTAAATGACCACACCAGCCAGAGCTAGAGCAGACTGAAGCCAGGAGCCAGGAGCTCCATCCAGTTCTCTCACTAGTGGCAAGGACCCAAACACTGGCCCATCTTCTGCCATTTTCGCAGGTACAATATCAAGAAGCTGGATCAGGAGTGGAACAGCCATTGCCAGCATGGGCCTCAACAGGCTAATTCTCCTCCTTCAAGTGCCAGAGTCCCACATGGGCAGTGGTCCGTGTTCCACTGCTGCACTCGCAACCTACCTCCCTGTGTATGGAAAGCAGGGGAGGATGGCTCAAGTCCCTGGGACCCTGCACCTCTGTGGCTCCTGGGTTGGGATTGGCTGGCCCCAGTGGGTACAGCCGTTTGAAGAGTGGGCCAGGGCTGGATGCTTTTCTCTCTGTCTCTCCTTCTGCATGTAAATCGGCCTCTCAAATAAAAACAAATAAATTTTTGAAAGAAAAAGAAAGGAAATGGAACAGCCAGAACTCAGCCTGCCTTCTGATATGGGATGCCAGGTTTCCAGACAGCAGCGTTACTGGCTGTGCTGCCCAAGTGTGGTCATCTTTAATGCTCTGTCTTCACAAAGTGTTCTAAATAAGGTTGGTATCTTCAGAGACATGAAAGTCAATTTAATATAGAAACCCAGATCGCATTTAAATGTGATAACTAAGGTACTGAGAACAAAAATTTTATGAAGTGGTTTTCTTCACATTTACTCAACAAATTATAGCGAAGATTGTAAACCCCATAAAGTGTTCCCTAACATGAGCCCTTTAAAGAAAGTCATTGATCAGGGCTTTTCCTAGTGATTCATGCGTAGAGGGGCACCTCATGTGAGGGCTTGGAGAAGGACTTGTTGAGCCAGGCTTGCCAGATGGGCTGCTGGGCAGGGCAGAGGCAGGGGACAGAGAGCAGGTTGGCTTCCTCACAATTTTTGCTCTTTGGGCTAAAAATAGAAGGATTTACTTATCAGGCTAGCTCAGGCACACTAATCCCCTTTCGACTGGTTGCTGCAAAGTGTGTGCGTGTGTGTGTGTGAGAGACAGAGAGAGAAAAAGAGAGAAACCGGCTCCAGAGACCGAGAGAGGGAGAGACTGGCTCCAGAGAGCTTTTGGATCACTCATCTAGCACGAGTGACTACAGTCTGGTTTGGTTTGATCTCTTGGACCTATTCCACTGCCTTCTATACATTTTATTTATTTAACAGTTGCAGCAGTTTATTAACTCTCTTTTATTAATGAGGAAATTGAGAGATGTGACTTCTTCAATGTCTCTCAGGTTGGAACTGAAATTCCACGTTTACCTCCATTTCAAAGGTTTATTCATTTAAATACTTGGTCAGCTTTGCGCAGTGGCAGTATGGTAACCAATGAGGTTTATCTGAGGTGCGATTATTGTTAATTGAAAACTTTTCCCAATACCCCACTGTGACAGCTTGAAATATAGTTGGCATTGTGAACGGTTTAGCTCTCTGCATGTGGCTTGGGAAAGCAGCAAAGGATGACCTGAGTCCTTGGGCCTCTGCCCCCATGTGGGAGACCCTGAGGAGTCTCCTGTTTCAGCTTTGGCCCTTGTGGCTGTTAGAAATTTCTCTCTGCCTCTCCTTGTGTCTCTGTAAATTTGCCTTTCAAATAGAAATAAATCTTTAAACCGCCAAAGTACTCAGAGTTCACAGTAGAATGCTATGTTCTTTGGTTTTGTGGGGTTTCTTTGTTGTTTTCTCAGTCTTTTTTTTCTGAGGATGTGGTCAACAGAATCTGACTCAAGGACACCAGTTTGATTTTTGGCCTGTGCAAAGAGTCATTTGATTATTTTTGCTAATCTGGGAAGACAGTCGTGTGTCTCCCTTTCTCAATAGTTCATTCAGAATTAGAAAAAGTGCCTTTTGTTGATTCCACCTTAGAGTAGGCAGCCAGGATCCTCTTCTCCATTTACAATCATGCCAACTTATAAAGTATTACTGTAACCCAGATCTGAAGATTTGATCACATGAATGTAGGTTACATATAGATAGATATTTGTAATTTGTACAGTTGAAGAATACTGTGGGGACGTATTTGCTAGATCTGTCGTGTATTGAAAATGTGAATGCCCTACTGACACCATCTTTGATACCCCTCCCTGGAAGTCAAGGGGTGAGGGGTAAAAGTTTTATTTTGTAATCAAGGTTTGGTCTTTGTGGGTAACCATCCCTAATCCTGAAACTCTCTGAAGTTCCCACCAAGATTCACGTAATCTTTGTAAGCTTTGGTGTGAGACTTACAGTGACAGGTACGCTTATCACTTAGAAAGTTCTAGAAGACGTTAGGCACTTTTGGACGTTGGAAACAAAGCGCAGATTGTTATTATGTTTAGCTTAAACCGCTTGAATACTATTGAACACTGTAGTAATGTAATAAAAACCGTTTACTAATTTTAAAAAGCTATGGTCAGGAAGTAATAGAGAGTTGATTAAACAAATAATACCATATAGCGCTTAAAATTGATATTTGTTATATATAAAAGATGACCACAAGCACTTCCTAATTTGTGAAAAAAATTCTGACAGAATTAAGGGGAGATGTACTTGCGTGTCTTCTGAAGATTTAGCTGGCAAGTTTGTCAATAGCCAGAAGTTTAATTAATTAATAAATATAGCATGTTCAACATATTTTCCATGGGGACCTGTAAAGCAGCTTGTGTAACTGCTTTGGAAGGCAGCTATGCTTACCACTATACCACCAACACCTACTGTGTAACTATTTTGAACTTAAAGCCATTGCAAGTATTTTTTGGCAGCGAATCTACCAGGAGGAGAAAGGAATTCTGGAGAGCTGCCAGCACACTGCAGAGAGTTTACAATTTATGAATGAGTTGTGTTCTGAAAGATAGCTATGAAATTCTAAACACATTTCAATCAGCTAGAACAGCTTTAATTTACCCATGAAATGTATGCAAAATCTCCACTTATTTTGTATGTGTAACAATTTATGATTTACTAGGCTCGGCGCGATGGTGCACTGGTTAAGGTCCTCACCCTGCACACCTGGGATCCCATATGGGCACCGGTTCTAATCCTGGCAGCCCCACTTCCCATCCAGCTCCCTGTCTGTGGCCCAGGAAAGCAGTCAAAGACGGCCCAAAGCTTTGGGACCATGCTCCCGCGTGGGAGACCTAGAAGAGGCTCCTGGCTTCAGATTGGCTCAGCTCCAGCCGTTGCGCCCGCCTGGGGAGTAAATCATCGGACGGAAGATCTTCCTCTCTGTCTCTCCTCTCTGTATATCCGCCTTTCCAATAAAAATAAAAAATAAATCTTTAAAAAAAAATTTATGATTTACTGTATCTTGACTTCCAGCTAACTAAAATTACTGCAAAACTGATTGCCTTCTTGCAGAAGAGGTAGACCTGTGTGTGTGTGTGTGTGTGTGTGTGTGTGTGTGTGTATTAAAATGGCTGTGATGGCTGGAGCTGAGTTGATCCAAAGCCAGGAGCTCTCCCGGGTCTCCTATGGGGGTACAGGGTCCCAAGAGTTTGAGCCATCTGCTGCTTTCCCAGACAATAATTAGGGAGCTGGATCAAAGTGGAACAGTCTGGACACAAATGGTGCCCACATGGGATGCTAGCACAAGAGAGAGAGGTTTAGGCTACTATACCATGATGCTGGCCCGTAACTTGTGTTTTCTCAAGCACATTTTAAAGATTCACTTACAAAAAGTCTGTTTTGCTCAAATGGAATCTAAATAAGATCTATACTGTATTTATTGATATCCTACTTGCTTTGTAAGTTGTAAACTGAAAAGTATATATTTTCTATTGCTGTTGTAGCAGATTATCCTGATCGGTGACTTAAACTAACACACATTTATTAGCATTCCAAAGTGTACAGTTTGGAAATCAATTTTATTGACCTAGAAATCAAGGTGTTTACCGGATTCCATTTCTTCTGGAATGGGGAGCGTGGATGTTCTGGTCTTCTCCAGCATCTAGAGGTCACCTGTATGCATGGTTTCATGTTTCCATCTTTGAAGACAATAGCACATGATCTTCATCTGTCTCTCTGCTTGTCTCTTATGAAGACCCTTTCAACTTACTTTGGACCCACCGGGATCATCTGGAGCTAAGATCCTTTTGTCATGCTGCAAAGTGCCTTTTGCACCTGTGTGTGCATTAGTAACCTTTTCATCACCAGAGCAAATACCTGAGACGAGCTCCTGGGGAAGGAAGGAGGTTTGTTTTGGCTCATGGTTTTGAAGTATTTAGCTTTCCAGTATTTATGGAACAGTGCATTAAACATTTGTGGACATTCCTTTGTGAATACGTAAGAGTATCTATGAGATAAATTTGTAGAACTGAACGCTGAGCCAAAGGTATTAAAATATAAACGTTGGCAGTTCTACTTTTAAAGCATTACTTGAGCAAATAACGCCGCATGAAGCAGGTGGTTCCGAGCCAGAAGTAGCTGGAACTGCACTGAATGAGTAGGGGTAGGAAAGGAGCAAAAAGTCATCTGAGGCTTTAGAACTTGACGGGAGTAACTTGGTGGTACTGCGAAACAATCTCATGCTTAGTTGGCACCCCGTGATGGACTGAACTTGAACTCCGTTTTCTTTTCAACCTTATGTTAGGTGTCTGTTTGCTTAAGTGGAGACACTTGCTTACAGGGTGGCGCCAGGTTAGCAGCAGATGAATATGTTGTTGTCCTTCTAATGCTGACAAATTTCCTCTAACTTGTACCAGTTTTCAGTGACATAGTCATGCTTGTTTTCTCACACTGATGTCCAAACATTAATGATCTTTTTAATGTTACTCTGCAGATAAGTGAAAATTCACTAGTTCAAATTACATCATCACAATTAAAAATAAAGTTGAGCGATGTTTGTTCAAGAGCAATGTATTTCATGATATATTCATAAGAATTTGGGTCCATGAAGTTGTACATTTATTTAAAAACCATTTCTTTGCCAAGTATATTTTATTTTATTTTTAAGATTTTGTTGTGGAAAGGCAGTTAGGAGAGATAGAGAGAACCTTCCATCTGCTGTTTCATTCGCCAAATGGCCTCAACAGCTAAAGTTAGTCTGGTCTGAACCCAAGATCCAGAAGCTTCTTCAGGTGTCTCATGTGGATGCAGTCTCCAGCACTTGGGCTGTCCTCTGCTGCTTTCCCAGCCCATCAGCAGAGAGCTGGATCGGAAGGATCAGAAGTAGAACAGCTAGGACTTGAACCAGCACCCACATTTGATGCCAGTGCTGCAGACGGAGGATTAGTTTATTATACCACTGCGCCAGCCCCTCCTAGGTGCATTTTAAATACATATTTATACATTAAATCTGATAGTTTCTAGGGCCTGGCACAGTAGCCTAGTGGTTGAAGTCCTTGCCCTGCAGGCACCTGGATTCTATATGGTTCTAAACCCGGAAGTCCCGCTTCCCATCCAGCTTCATGCTTGTGACCTGGGAAAGCAATCGAGGATGACCCAAAGCCTTGGGATCTTGCGCCTGGGTGGGAGACGTGGAAGAGGCTACTGGCTCCTGGATTTGGATCTGCTCAGCTCTGGCCATTGTGGCCACTTGGGGAGTGAATCAACAGTTGGAAGATCTTCCTGTCAGTCTCTCCTCCTCTCTGTATATCTGACTTTGCAATAAAAATAAATCTTTTTAAAAAAAATCTTACAGTTTCTAACAGTAGTGATAATTATTGTGAGCATTTAGAGTAAGTATTATATATTGGGGTCTTGATGTTGTATAACACATGATGATGTGTTTTCCTGTTTGTTTTTTACTGTTAAATTGAGAAATCTAAGTTGGGATTTTTTTAAAAAATCATTTAATTTATTCATTTGAAAGACAGAAAGGGAAGAAACGAAAGGAGAGATCTTCTGTTCCCTGGTTCCCTCAAATGGTTGCAACAGCTGGGGCTATGCCAGGCTGAAGTTAGGGGCAGGAACTTTGGTGCAGGGACCCAACCCCTTTGGCTGTCTTCTGTGCTTTCCCAGGCTGTTAGTAGGGAGCTGGATCAGTAGAGGAATGGCCAGGACTCCAACCAGCATTCATATGGGATGCCCACACTACAGGTGGCTATAGTGCCAGCCGGAGACCTTTTTTTTGATAATTATCAAAAGAGCTGCATAACATCAGCTTAGAAAATGTGTGTATATTACTGCATTGCCACGTAGTGCTTCCCTCACACTGTTTGGCAAAGCACAGTATAATAGCTGCATGATAAACATACAGAGAAGATAGCGAGAAGTTTGATTGGGGACTATACTTCATACATTCCTTTCTTGGGGGTTCTTTAAAACTTGTCATTGGCAAGGCCTTTTACAGTTAGCTCCCTTGTGAGTCAAGCAGCAGCCCAGCCAGGCTCTCCTGCTGGCTTTACTTGTTCAGTTGGGTGCTGTTCTCCTCAGGGCCCTGTTGGTCCAGTTACTGTTTGATGACAGTTCTCAAATCTCACTCTCCAGTCCAGTTATCACCACTGCTCCCCTGTGCCTCTGCTCCTGTACTTTGACATCTGAAAGCCATTGATGGCAGAGGGGGAAAGGCTTACAGGGCTTCCTCCTATTGCTACTTCTTCCATGCCTGAGGCCTATTGACAGTGTCAGGTGTTATCAACGGGTGTGAGTTATCCACACTTGTGTCGGTTCAGCTCACTCTGATCAGCCACCTTTTCGCTAACTTTGCTTACCCTTTTAGGTTGAATTCTCCTATCCTCCCTTGATTCCGGGAGATGGACATGACAGCCACATTTTACCAGAAGAATGGAAATATTTGCCCTTCCTTGCCTTACCAGATGGTGCACACAACTACCAGGAAGGTATGTGATGGAAGCATTAGTAGAAGTCCTTTGGGCAGTTGTGCTGTGCTGGAGATGACTAGTCCTGCACTGGAGGCCCTCAGTGGCCGGTGACGTCCACCGTCCTGCTGGAGCTGTGGTTGAGTGAGTGATGAGCCAGAGCGGAGAGGCTGACGCTGGGAGCACTTCCTGCACTTAGACTCCAGACTCCTCTCAGAGGGACACCAAGGGGCTCAGCTTGCTAGGCACCTAGCCACAGACTTACTGGGTTAGAACTCAGGAAAGCGCTGAAATGTTGGTTTCCTGCCCCTGGAGCTGTTACTGTCACAGTGCTGCACTGTCAAGCCCCCTTGTTGCATGCAGGACTTGTTTGTACCCCCTAGGAACGAGTGCTAATTAAACCAGCTAATTAACCACACTCTCCATGACTACATGGTATTGAAGCTCCACCAAATTAAACCTGGTTTGATTACCTGTATTATATATAAAATTCAGTTTAAGAGGCATAGAAAAACAGAGAGATCCCATCTCCAGTTCACACCCCAAATGCCCCCACAGCCAGCCTTTACCCACTGCACCACAAGGCCAGCCCCGGTGTTGTTGGTTTTTATAACTACTTTCTTTTCATCTGGAGCAGTTCCTTATACAGTATTTTCTGTAATGGTATCTCAGTTTGACCTGTTATAATTCAACCTCCGGGCTTTTTGTGGTGAATATATGTTGGAAATAAGTATGACATGAATTCCGGTTACCATTTTTTTATTAATGACTGCATTGTGATGACTTCAAATGTCATTATTGATGAAAGTGTTTCATCTTGGTGTTTGTATTTTTCTATGCCTTAGATACTGTGTTTTTTCACTTACCACCCAGAAATGGAAATGGAGCCACGGTATATGGTATTTCTTGCTATCGACAAATTGAAGCCAAGGTATGATAGATAAGTAATGGTAAACAAAAAGCGGGAAAGTCTCCAAAAGTTTTTCTTAGATTTTGGTCTCTTATAGAAATACATAATCTTTATCTTTCATGTGGTACCTGTACTGCTGTCTTAGATTTTTATATGCAACTTTTGGTTATTTTTCTGGTAGTACCAATTAATACACACCAAAATTTTAAGTTTATGTTGGTGGCTTTAATCATGTTTGCATCATAATATTTGGTGTGTTGGTTTTAGAAAGTAAATCCTAAATTACCCATTTTTATTCGAAATACTATATTTCAATGTTGGCACCATCTCTGTTCTTTTAAATTAATTACCTGAGAGCCTGGCATGAAGGCTCAGTGCTAAAGCCTTGCTGTGCCAGCTCCGGGATCACATAGCGGCGCCAGTTCATGTCTTGGCTGCTCCATTGCTCTTCCAGCTCCCTGCTGGTGGTCTGAGAAATGAGTACAGCATGGCCCACCCAGTACCTTGGGACTCTACATCTGTGTGGGAGACCTGGAATAAGGTCCTGGCTTCGGACTGGCAAAGCTGCAGCTGTTCTAACCCTTGGGACATGAACCAGCAGATGGGAGATATTTTTCTTTCACGTTCTCTCTGTCAGTCAGCCTTTCCAATAAAAAAAGAAAAATTAGTCTGTTGCTTATACATGTTTGGAAATTCCACTTTTTTGTGAGAACAGCATTTGTATAGGCAGTAGGGACTGAGCTTACTGCTGGGGAGGTTTCCCTCACTGCTCCTTCTTTCCCCGTTTTTCTCCCTTTATCTGCCTTTAGATAAACAAAATGTTGTTTATATTTAAAAGTATATATATATTTAAATTTCATAGTTTTTTTTGAATTTCCTATTTCTAGTGTTTGGTACATAATTTACAAAAATGGAGTGTCATTATGTATTTTGTTTGCTTAATCAGTGTTATTGAGAAAGTAGAATTAACTTACAGTGATTTTCAGACACTTAGAAGATACTCTAAGACTTCAGTTGATTTTAAACTAGCTGCCACCTCATGCCTGACATATTATTATACTAGCTCTGAGAAGTAAATTAAACTAGACCAGGATGAGTGACCCCACTTTCTAGTTTGCTTATATGTAGCACTGTTTTTGTTTATGAGTAAAAAAATCTCTCTCTCTAAAAATTTTTATTTATTTGGGCCTGGCACCATAGCCTAGTGGCTAAAGACCTCGCTTTGCATGCACCAGGAACCAGGATCCCTCTGGGCACTGGCTCATATCCTGGCTGCTCCCTGCTTGAGACCTGGGAAAGTAGTCGAGTACTAAGGATGGCCCAAAGCCTTGGGACCCTATACCTGCATGGAAGATCTCAAAGAAGCTCCTGGTTCCTGCCTTCAGATTGGTCCAGCTCCAGCTGTTGCGGCCACTTGGCAAATGGAGGATCTTTCTCTCTGTCTCTCCTTTCTCTGCCTTTCCAATAAAAAGAAATAAACACATCATCTCACCCAAACCAAATTCTTTAATAGAAACATAGCACCTAGACTGACCCTTATTATTTCAACACATGTTTCTGAGATGCTCAAAAAGTACATTTTTGAATTAGCTAAATATGAGAAACTCCTGTTTAATTGCTACTTTTGTGTTGAAGAAATAGTTTTTAAATTATTGCTGTGAAATATTTCTAATAATGATTTTTTGTAATAGGCATTGAAAGTAAGACAAGCAGATGTTACCAGAGAGACTGTTCAGAAAAGTGTCTGTGTCCTAAGCAAGCTGGTAAGTAAACTAGTAATTTGTTTGTGTGAATGTTAAGCTTTCATCTCAGATTTTAATCTCAGAGTAAGACATTATTAAAATACAAATTTGTGAATGAAAGCAATAATATGTTAAAATTAGGAGCTAACTATCTATGCTCTTGCATCTTTTTCTTTACTTTTCAGTAGCTGTTCTCTCATTTGCACCTGTTTTCCATACTAGGTAAGGGGGCCAGCATTACGGAGTCACAGCTGAGCCACCCCCTAAGATGCGCACATCCCATATGGGTCCCCTCTGCTCCGCTTTTAACCCAGCTCCCTGCCAATGTATCTCGGAAAGCAGTGGAAGGGGGCACCTGTGCTTGTGTAGGAGACCCAGAAGTTCTTGGCTTCTGGCTTCAGCATGGCCCAGGCCTGGCTGTTGTGGCCATTTAGGGAGTAAACCAGTGGATGGAAGACCTTCCTTTCTGTCTTTTCCTCTCTATAAATCTGCCTTTCAAATAAATTACACACACACACACACACACACACACACACACACAAATATAACCCAGGTAAGAGGAAGGAGATCTGATAATACTGTAGGCATTAGTAAGTTTTTGTAAAGACTTATTAATTTATTTGAAAGAAAGAGAGAAAGAAAAAGAATAAGAAATCTTCCGTCCACTGGTTTACTCTTCAAATGTCCACAACAGCCAGGGCCACAACCAGAGCTGCTTCTGGGTCTCTCGTGAGAGTACAGGGACCCAAGCACCTGGGCCATCTTTCGCTGCTTTTCCTTGGCTGTTAACAGGGAGCTGGATCAGAAGTGGAGCAGATGGGATTCAAACCTTTTCCCATTTGGGATCCTGGTGTCACGATGCCTTCACCCAATACACTGCAGTGCTGGCCCCCTCAGTTAAGATTTTGACGAGCAGAAATGTTTTTAAAGATTTATTTCAGAAGCAGAGTTAGAGAGAGGAAAAAAGGAGAGTCTTCCATCTGATACTTGCTCCTTGAATGGTCGCAGTGGCCGAGACTGGGCAGGCCAAAACCTGGAGCCTAACACTCCATGTGTGGCTTCCACATGGGTAGCCAGTGTCCGAATAGTTGCCGTACCCAGAAGCCAGATCAGAAGTGGAACAGCTGAAGTTCAAACTGCATCATGTGGAATGATGGCATCATAGGCAGTGGCTTAACCCCCCACAGCACTGTACAGTTTCTGGAAGAGTGTACTGTTTGTGTGTGTATACCCACATGCAGACGAGCAAGCAGATGTAGAGCAGTGCAGTGCCTGGAGTTTTGGAGCTAGACCGGCCCAGCAAGTATATTCCCATACTGTTTTTGTTTTATCTTGCCATTATACACAAAAATATTTTATTTTTGGAAAATGACCTCTAATTTATGCCAAGTTTTATTTTCAAAAAGAAAATCACAGAATACCACAATCTAATTCAGTCTTAAAGGCTGACATGCTAAGCAAGAAATGTCCTTATTCTCTGAACGAGTTCCTTCTGTGCACTGTCAGGTGCCAGGGCTGTGCCTTTTGGAGTAATTTCAGCCACCAAGTCATCAACAGCAGCGTGTTTGAGTCCTTTTTCTTTGATTACCTCTTTATAGTGAGCCGTCAGTTGATCCTTTGCCACCACATCCAGTTCATTTAGCTCGCAGCAGCTCTTTGAGATGTTCTTGTTCTCCAGTTTCTATCAACTTTTGGTTAATCGCTGCTCTCATCTGTGCATCTTTGTTCATCTTGCTAACCACCCTCGTGGAGTGCCCAGACTTAGACCCTCAGTAGCTCGGGCACCTAAGCAAACAGAGAGCTAGAACTCGCATTTCCCGGTCCCATCCTGCTAACTGCTGGATAGTCAGTGCTTAAGCCGCCTCACGCCTGCAACCAGAGAGAACTGTGGCACTGAAGTTTGTTGCTTTTTTTGTCCCTGTTCAAATTTAAAGCTTTGGGAGGATTGTGTGTGTGCGCATGTACTTACATGTTTATATAACAATACACACTCATACACATACTGTTGTCAGCCTAATGATCATTTATCTTTTTTTTTTCTTTAAGCCTCTCTATGGCTTACTTCAAGCAAAGCTTCAGCTTATTACACATGCGTATTTTGAAGAGAAGGATTTTTCCCAGATTTCCATTCTAAAGGTAACTACCCTTTACAGTGTGTTTGGGTAAAGACTTTTAAAGTCCTAAATCAAGTAAATCTTATCTATAATACGTGGGATATAATCATTTATTAGCTTAAGAAAAGCGTTCTTTGAGAAGGTATTTGCATTGAGACATTGAAAGAATATGTAGTAAATTTAGCCAAACCTGTATTTTTTATGAAGCAGTAGTTGCAAATAACAAACATAAATGTTTCTCTTAATGGACAATAGTCCTTTTACATTGCTTCTGTAAATTTGCTTATCTTATTAATAAACGTCATGATATATTTATATACCAGGCTCTGGTTCTTACCTTGCAATGATATAAGCCAGAAAAAGACATGGTTATTTTGTTGAAATGGATAGTGTGTTTTTCTCAAGCCTGCCCTCAATGCTTGGACATGTGTCTCCTGCAGCCTGGGAAGGTTAAGACAGCTAGGTATTCAGCCAGAAAACAAAATAACCCTAAGGGCTTTTGTCCTTATAATTTATATCACCACGCAGATGATTCAGACTCTGAAATGTGAAGAAAACGAATACTCTGAGTAGCTTTGCACGCTTTCTGCCCAGATCTCTTCTGATATTGCTCATTTGTGGAAGAGAAGGAGTGAGTGCTGGAAATGGACAAGATTTCGGCAATGTGTTATTTCCAAGTTGAATGCCAGTGTTGAGGAAGCAGCATTTTTCTGATATTTCTAATTCACTGTCTAAAATGATAGTACAATATTGTAAATGCATCCTGTGTTTTATAGGAGCTCTATGAGCATATGAATAGTTCCCTGGGAGGAACTTCATTAGAAGGATCCCAAGTGTATCTTGGTAAGAGACTTTTTTACAATTAGAACAGATAACCTCTTTTCTTGTTTGGCAGATTGAGTTGCATGTAAAACTTCATGATCAGAATTAACCCTCCGTATGGGACCTGAGGCCTTCAGTGTTTGCTGTTGTATCTTCCTGAAATATTTTCTTCACCAGGATTCACACTGAGAAGGCTTATCATAACATGCTCATAGCTGGGTTTACCACTGTAATTATACAAGGTGGATTTCTGTTTTTCAAAATAATAATGATTGGTTGGCTTTTTTCCCTTATATTTAGGCTGGCCAGTTCAGTTCTCTGTCTTATCAGAGAAGGAGAGTAGGAGAGAGAGTGTTTCTCAGTTTTTCCTTATTCTAACATTCTACAAGTTGGAGATTTGGTTTCATTTATACTGTCTCCTTTCTTTTTATGATTAATTTTATTGATTTGAAAGGCAGAGTTACAGAGAGGGAGAAGCCAAGGATGTATCTTTCCCTTCTCCCCTACTGTTATGTTGGAGGCACATGAGAAAGAAGGCTGAGATTCACAAACACTAACATAAAGTTCAATGACCAAAAACTATTTAAATGATTGATTGTCACTGTAGTATGAACTTGATAATTTCTAAACTTGTGTAGTTTAGCGTTACAGACTAGAGGGAAGTATTAAGCCAACACTGTCTAAAACAATAGCCGATGGCCACATGTAGCATCTACATTTAGATGTTAAGTGAACACAGATTAAGTAAAATGTAAATATTTCTCTATTGTATTTACCATATTTCAGGTATTCAGTAAGTCATATTTGGCTACTGTGTTGGATAGGACATGTTTAGAACACTGTCATCCTTGTAGGAAATTATATCAGAAAGTGATATTTCTAAGCATATATGTGTTTAACAAACTATTATGTAAATATTATGACACTTCAGAAAAAAATATGAAAAAGCAAAATCAACTGATCAGCATTTTTCATGAGCCTGTTGAAGACCTCTTCTATTTTAGTATTTGCACAGTATTTTCATAGTCTTACTTTCATTTTTATATATCTCTTTCCTTTGAAAGGAAAGTAAACTTTGAACAAAACAGTAGTTTGTGCTCACAGATTAGCATTTCTGTTAACATTGTAGGTCTGTCTCCTCGAGATCTTGTCCTTCATTTTCGACACAAGGTATGACAACTTACTTAACTTGAGAATGTTCTAAAATGGGAAACGTTTTGCGTCCATTTAGCTGAGTGACTCATTGTGCTACATCAAGTGGCATGACCCATGTTTTCTTCTTCTAAGACAATACTTGGTCTCCTAACTATACAAAGGTGAGATATTGGTGGCTTGTTGCAGAAATATGTTCAAGCGTATGGATATGTCTTTTTACTTGTCTGCAGTGCAGATTTTTTGTGTCTGTCTTCTTTGGGATTTTGGCTATTGTGAAATTAGAACACAAAGAAACATTTTGATCTGGTATAATTTTTGTTTATTTTCCTCTTATTTGAAAGGCAGAAAGAGGGAGATGATCCATCCATTGATTGACTCCCCAAATGTACACCACAGCCAAAGTTGGGTCACACTCTAGCCAGGATGACCAGAACTCCTTCCAGGTCTCTCACAGGAGTGGCAGGAACCTAACTGCTCCCCCATCATCTGCCCCCCATGATGTACCTTAACAGGAAGCTGGATTAGAATAAGAGGAGTTAAGATTCGAATCAAGCACTGTGATGTGGCATGTGCTTATTTCAAGTAACAGCTCACTCACTGGACCAAACCCCCTCCACTTATAGAATATTAACACATGTCCTGGTGGAATGGAAGTAAAACACCTACATTGATGTAAAGCATACACTTGACGAGGACATACACACATTGATCATTCCTTGAACACTTTTATTGAGGACCTGCAATATGATAGTTCTAGACATCTAAAAATCAATGAACACTTACTGCATTTTTTAAAAGCTTGTAAACCTTTTAAACAGAAATGACACCAACCCTCTCAAAAAGAAAGATCTTTTCACTTAGAGATATAAATGATACTCATGTTTTTATAGCACATAGATAGTTAATTTCAGAGTGTAATTTTGTAACTTTTCATGTGTTTTTGTAACACTACCATTTACTATTGATAAATGATATGTGGTTATGTTTGAGGAGAGGAAAGGTAAATGAATAATAGGGTTGATTTGCTAACGGTAATACAGGATTTCTTTTTTCAGGTCTTGATCCTGTTTAAATTAATTCTTCTTGAAAAAAAGGTGAGATTTATAGAGATGAAAGGAAGGATGAGCTGTTTAACTTCTGTGTTGAACTTAATTAATGGTAAAGTATTAAAGACTTGCCTATCAGATTGTGGCGAGCTGAAGCACATTTTCTGTTTCATTACCCTGGAAGTATAAATGTGTAGTCTTTCTGGAGGCAATTTGACATTCATTGATGTTTTGGATGGTTTTCGCCATAGGTAAAACCCAATTTGAAGCTCACATTCAAGAAGTTTATCATTCACAGAATGATATATAGTATGTTTCAAATTTCTCCAGATATCATAATGTCGTCTTTCTTTTTTTAAAGATTTTTTTTAATCTATTCGAGAGAGTTACAGAGACAGAAGGAAAGAGAGAAAATCTTCCATCCACTGGTTCGCTCCCCCAGCAGCTGCAAGGGCCAGGCCGGGGCAGGCTGAAGCCAGGAACCAGGAACCTCTAGCTCTCCCACATGAGTGCAGGGCCCAAGGACTTAAGCCATCCTCTGCTGCTTTCCAGGGCTGTAAGCAGGAAACTGGATCATAGGGGGAACAGAGGGAACACAAACTGACACCTATATGGGATATTGGCACCACACGGGAAGCTTAGCCTTCTATGCCATGGCAGGCAATCTGCAGGAGGCTGATCGTGAGGAGATATTGTCCAGCGGCCTTCCACAAGTAGTTTTACCATCCATTGTTCCTTTTTACCTAAATAATGGTTGGATGCTAAATGTAATTTTCTGTCATTGCTTTAGCGTTCCCTGTTATTCTCCTGTGATGAAGAACTTTTCTTTGTCCTCTCCTTCCCCTGCCCCCTTTGTAGTATTAGTATTAGCTCCTGGACCTTCTAATGTGATTTTGGTTGAATCCATTTCAGGTTCTTTTTTATATTTCTCCAGTGAATAAGCTGGTGGGTGCACTGATGACTGTGTTGTCCCTTTTCCCAGGTAAGACGACAGTGGTATCTACTTAGTTTTCTTAACTTCACATGTCAGTAATGGAAGTTTTCAAGGATAAATTTGTTAGGATGAACATTTCCATTTCTCTGGTGTGTTTTCCTTTGGCAGTACATGTTTCTTTTTTTCTTCTTGTTTTTCTGTTAAAAAAGTGTGTAAATACAGCTTCTTAAAGTCTTTGTAGGAGAATGCCATCATATAGAATAAAATGTAAGAGTACTGCTTGTGTTTTTTCCCCGCATCGTTATATGCCAGATTGTTCTCCAATCTTGTATGTTGTAGGCATGATTGAGCATGGTCTCAGTGACTGTTCTCAGTACAGACCCCGGAAGAGTATGTCAGAAGATGCTGGGCTTCAGGAAAGCAGCCCGCCTGCCGATGATTTTGTTTCTGGGTCCACTTCTAACGTATCAGTTACCAACTTGGGAACTGTCAGGAAGAGCATGGGAAGCCACGGGGGAGACACTGCTGCCAAGACTGAAGTACCTTTGTTCCAAGCAGAAGATGCCCGCAGCAAAGGCCCAGCCATCGTTGATACCAGTCACTATTTGAAACCTCCATCACGCCCTTCTCCAGAGTCTTCAGAAAGTGACTGGGAGACGTTGGATCCTAGTGTTCTCGAGGACTCCAACTTGAAAGAAAGGGAGCAGGTGGGAGCAGAGCAGCCAGACCTGCTTCCCAAGGACCCCGTGCCCTCCGACAGCCCTCCAATCACCGTGCAGCCTCAGGCTAATACAGGGCAAGTGGTCCTGATTCCAGGGCTCATTTCGGGTTTGGAGGAGGACCAGTACGGCATGCCCCTGGCCATCTTCACAAAGGTAAAGCACCGTGACCTTCACGGAGTCCCTTACAGAACATGACAAAACCTTTTTAGGGTTCACATTTCCATGTTAAGCACGTTTTCCAAATACATACCAAGTATGTAGTGCATCTGTAGTCATAGTGTGTGACCATAAGGAGGTAATTCAGTGGGTTTGATTAGAAACATTTTTGAAAACAGTGGATATGAGATATCCAACCAATATATTGGGCATTTTTAATTGTTAAAATTTCTCTTTAAAAAAAATGGATTGAGGAAATCAAGTCTTAATTGTATTTAATTAATACCTTAAATATTAATTTTTAAAACTGTTTCTTTTTTTATAAGCTTATTTTAATTGCCCTTCTATGACTTTTTAGTTTTTGCGTGGTTTGATTTTTTTTTTTTTAAGCAGAGCAACAGAGAGGCCAAGAGAAAGAGATTTTCTGCTTACTGGTCCATTCCCTAAATGCCTCAATGGCAGTGGCTGGAACAGGCCAGAGTCAGGAGCCAGGAATTCCATCTCAGTGTCCCATGTGTCCCAAAGCTTTAACAGGAAGCAGGGAGCGGGTATTTGGCACCACTGTTAAGATGCTGCTCAGGATGCTCACCCCCCATCACTGTGCCCGAGTTCTAGTCCCAGCTTTGCTTCTGCCTGCAGCCCACCCCAGGACGTGCCAGGTGATGGCCCCCCATGTTGGAGACCAGGATGGAATACTGGACTCCTGGCTTCTGCCTGACCCAGTCCTAGCAGGGCTGGGCCTTTGAAGATTGATCCAGTAGATAGAAAATCTCTGTCTCTCTGTGTTTCAAGTAGATGGGAGGGAAAATTTTTAACCAATGATATGTTAGTGGAATCTAAGAACCTGGGGGAAAACTCAGGTTTCCTAGAATGCTAGGTTGATAAACAGTCACAGATTGTGGACTTTGTGATTGTCGTGGTTCCCTGTGCCTTTTGGAGCCCTTTACTGTTGTATGATTCCACCCTCTAGTTATTAGTGCTATAGAAATAACAGGAGGAAAATGAACTATGGAGGAATCTAGGGGATTTTATATGTTACTAAGTTAAAACAACTAAAAGGTGTAGTGTATATTTATCAGTTAGTTATGTTTAGGTTTTCATGCTATGCTTACTGTGTACTGATTAAAATCTAAATTGTTGGTGGAGGTGTTTAGCCATTGGAGACGCCTGCATTCCGTGTCAGTCTCCCAGGCACTTGAGCCATCTTCTGTTGCCCTCCCAGGCTCATTAGCAGGGACGGTGTTCATACAGGAAGAGGAGCAGCTGGGACTTGAGGCACTGCCCACTTATATCTCTATGATGCAGACATGGATTTGTTTTTGTTGCTCCCGTTAGGGTTTTTCTGAATTGGTGAAGACATCAAGAATAAGGATCAAATCCAGTTACTAGACTTCTATTCCAACTCTTCAAACTTCCCTCTTATTTATTAAATGTGCAAGAGTTTGCTACGTTAGGACAAAGTACTCTGTCCTGGATGCTGTGAAGAATACGAAGTTACAGAAAGAATAGCTCCTCCTCTCCTCTGTCTCATGATAGAAACAAGAGGCATCATCCTAAGCCAGTGTTTAAGGAGCATGAGAAGCTTTAAAAAAATTTTTTTTCAAAAAACTTGAGATTAAAATAAGCTCAGGGGCACAGTTAGTCTCCCTGCCTGACATCATATACAAATGACACCTCTTAAAAATTTATTTAACAGAAATCCCAGAGTTGCCTTCAGTGACTTGTGTTAATACCTTTTGTAAAATATGAAATGCCTTCATATAAAATATGGTGGGTGTTTGGTTTGGTTTGGTTTGGTTTGGCTTGGTTTGGTTTTGAAGATTTATTTATTTTACTTGTAAGACTTACAGAGGGAGATAGAGATCTTCTGTACACTGACTCACTTCCCAAATGGCCGCAACAGCCAGAGTTGAGCCAATCCAAAACCAGGAGCCAGGAGTTTGTTCCGAATCTCCCATAAGGGTGCAGGAGCTCACGGACTTGGGCCGTCCTCCACTGCTTTCCGAGTCCATTAGCAAGAAGCTGGATTGATAGTACAACAGCCAGAACATGAACCTGTGCCCGTGTAAATGGAATGCTGGCACTAATTTGCCACCTCCACCACTGTGCTAACCCCTGCTTTTTGTTTTTATTCAACTTTAGATTGTCTTCATTTATTTATTTCTTAATGTATTCCTTTTACTTGAAAGTTAGAGCTACATGGATGGAGGGAGAAACAGAGAGAGATCTTCCATACACTGATTTCATTCCCCAGTGGCCAGAGCTGGGCAGGTCTGAAGCTGGGAGCCAGGAGCTTCTTCCAGGTCTCCCATATGTGTGCAGCGACCAAAGGCATTAGGCCATCTGCTGCTTTGCCAGGCCACCAGTAGGGATCAGGTTTGGAAGTGGAGCAGCAGGATCAGACCTGGCACCCATATGGGATAGTGGTGCTATAGGCATAGGCCCTGTGACTTGAAATTTTAATAGCTTTCGACTAAACAGTGTTTTATCAATGCACTTAATACTGTATTTCTTAAGAAGTTCAACTCATGAATTACTGAAGTGACTTTTAAGTTGAACTAAGAACAAAATAATGAAGATATCCTTCATGTTAAACTGCTATGCATGATTTTACTGTTTATGGAGAAGCTTAGCTAATCAGTCACTGAGTTGAGTGCAGCAAGCCCTGCAGCTCCCTGGACTGTGAGCAGAATAAGTCAAGGCCAGCTGCACTGGGGACAGAGCAGGGACAGCTGATTAGGGATGGGAGCGTCCCCTCCCCCCTCGATTTCTGGGCTTAAAGAGCAAGGTAGCTGTCCTTCTACTTTGCTAATATTGTCTGTTACTCTTACGATTCATAGGGCTATCTGTGCTTGCCGTACATGGCATTACAGCAGCATCATCTTCTGTCTGATGTCACAGTGCGGGGATTTGTTGCTGGAGCTACTAACATCCTTTTTCGACAACAGAAACACCTCAGTGATGCCATTGTGGAAGTACGTTCATGTATGAGTGTGTCCTTGGCTTGTTGCTCCCTTTGTTCCCGCTTCGGTCCGTAACTGCATTAATGATGACAATGCTTACTGTACGCCAGACGTCTGTCCACTTTACGTATATTAACAGATTTAGTGTTCGAGCCGACCCTGTGGGATAGGTGCTGTTACTGTCAGTGCCTGCATTTTTACCTGCAGAACCAAGGAACCAGATTGAATGATGTGAATGATATTAAACAGGTAGTTGAGTGAGTGATCTAGGATTCCAACCCAAGCAGTCTGGCCTACTGTGATCTCATGGTTTATTAAATGTGTTCGTTCTTTAGATAATTGAAGGAATTTGTCCAATATATAAGAAATTTAAATCATTTATTAAGTGAAATCATTCCTAAGAGAAACTGCCACTGCACTAAGGTTTCTGTAGTTTCTGACACAGAGCATCAGAATATGCTCCAGGGAAGAGTGGCTATGCTAAAAGAGCAGTTTAAGATTTAGAGCTAGATTTTACATAATTACAATTTTGAGGAAGAAAAAAATACACACACACACACACACACGATCCAGGACAGAAAGCTGTGGGTGAGAAGGCCACGACATTGTTTTGACATCCTTGACAATAGTCTAGTTTGGAAACTGGTTGGTGGGCTTGCCAGTATATATTTTATTACTGTACTTCAGAACTAACCTGTGACATAAATTTCTTTGTATGCAAAATGTTTCATAATAAAAGTAGTCTGAAGTATCTGTACTCAAAGGCAAAAATGTTAAGGAAGTTCACTTGAGCGTGTTCATTTCTAATGGCAAGATAACCATGATTTTTTTTAACCATACCTATATTTCTGTATTTTCCAAAACCTTCATGAATTACTTTTACAATTCAGAGTTACATAGTTATGCATGTATTTTCTAAAACCAAAATGAACATTTTTTTAGTTCCAAAAAAAAACTTTAATTCAACACCGGTTCCTTCCTTAGACTCAACTGTCAAGAATGCTGTTTTACTCCTGTTTTTTTACTTTCAAAGCCACCTTCCCTGTAGTTATTCTTTAAGGCGTGGCGTGAGTGATGTCTGATCTGCATCTGCATGATTGTCCAGCCCCTGACTTGTGCCTGGGTGCACCCCGCTAGGTAGAAGAAGCTGTGATCCAGATCCATGACCCAGAACTCAGGAAGCTGCTTAACCCGACCACCGCCGACCTCCGGTTCGCAGACTACCTGGTGAGGCACGTCACTGAGAACCGGGATGACGTCTTCCTGGATGGCACGGGCTGGGAGGGAGGTGACGAGTGGATCCGGGCCCAGTTTGCAGTCTACATCCATGCCCTGCTGGCCGCCACGCTGCAGTTAGGTAAGAAGCCAGGCCGAGCACACGGGTATTTCGTGTCGTCATTTTTCGTTCCGTTACCCTTCTGGTGGCTTGGGTTGCACAATTACGTACGCAGTACAGAAAGTCCCTGCTGCTGCCTCATACGGGGATAGCTAATCCCGATTTTTCAAGCACTTTATATCCTTCCAGACATGTCAGTGCATATATTTTAGACCAGTTTTATCGTGTTTTGGATGGTATTTCTACAGAAACAGATTCCATCATACATGTGAAATTTACCTTTTCTTTACAATGAAAACATTAACATATTTGAAGTCAGTAAATGCAGTTCTTATGACTTTATGCACTTGCTTAGTAGTTCATTGTCAGTAAGGGGATATCAGCATTCTGTGGCTGTTTATAAATATTTTGGGGGGAATTTTCAGGATGTATCAAGGGAAATAAAAGAAATAATAAAAATAGAAACCATTGAAACTTATTTGCTATTATAAGAGATAGTATCATTCCTACTAAATGGCTAAAGTGGGGCAAGTAAACATAAAGTTACCACATGCTAAAACTGTCATTCCCTGCCCTGCCAGAAAAAAAATACATATATAAAAAGTGAAAGTGGAACTCTGTGATGAGTTCTTCCGCCTGGACATGTGGCAGGATCAGGTAGATTTGCCATTAAGAGTGTTGAGCTTGTGTCCTTCCTCATCAGCTGTCTCTATTACTGTGTTTTATTGCAGTGAAATACATAGTGCCATAGTGGCACTGAGGATGCTCCCATTGTTGTATCAGTAGTTTGTTTTTTTAATCAATACTACCTCCACCATGTTAGCGCCTCACCAGGCTTCAGACATGCTTTTCATTTGTAAAGGAAAGCTAACAAACAGCCTTCATTTGTTAACAGGGCACTTGAAATTTTTTATTGTTTCTGCAAATGTCATCCTGGAGACATAAAAATTAAATCCTCTAAATCCCAGATTTGTTGAGTTATCTTGAAAGGACACCCTGTCTTCCGCCATTCATGTGGCTTCAGGAGTCCAGGAGGCTTTAAGTCCTGCACAATAGGAGCTCCCTTTTTCGGTTGTTGCTTTTTTTTGTTTTCAGCATTTAACATGTGAAGGATCCTGTCCATGCCCTTGACATCTAATAATTCCTTTCATCCTCACAGCAGTTCTGGAGGTGGATACCTAGGCATTTTCATTTTACAGAAGCAAAGAGGCTGAGCTGAGATTTTAACCCTAACAGTCCAGCTCAGAGCCACAGTCTTAAATTAACAAGGTCCAGAGAGCTCCAGGTTCCTCGGGCTTCACCTGCATGAGATGTGTATTTCCTTCTCTTCCTTCCTCAGCAGCCAAGGTGCTTGCAGTTCCCCTTCAGCGCAGACGGCACGCAGTTAGAATGTGAAGCAAGACCCACTGGAGTCCGTTCTCCAGACCTTTCTCTGTTCTTCACAGTGGGAGAGATATTCCACATTGAAGCATTCCCATTGTCTTGATAAAGCCAGAAACTTTCTACATTAAATGTGAAAAATCTCCCATTGTTATCTCAAGTACTTCTGACAGTTGAGATACTTAGAAACTCAAGAAAGAAACACTAAATAGACAAAGCCCAAAGAAGAGAAAATAGAACCAATTTATGTGTTCTCAGTTTCTTCATAAAAAATTACATTTACAAAAAGATAGAAAGATACCCTACTCACTCCATATGTGCAAAGAGTTTGTTTATTCACCTTCAAGTCTATAGTTTTTATTTAATAAATAATGCTAGCCTCATAATGTAAGGAGAACATGGAAATATTTTGGAGTTATAAGGAACCTTGGAAAATATCTGGCTCAACCCTCTTATTTTCCAGTTAGGAAAATGAAGTTCTGAGTGATTAAGTGACTTGCCAAAGGCCACATAGCTTCTTAACAGGATTTCTGGAACTAGATCCAAGTTTCCTGGCATCTGGTAGGCTATCTCCCAAAAAAAGAGTGGGAGGGTGGGGGGCTGAAGCCATTCCTTTACCCTTTTTGCTTGTTAGTCTTCACATCTCTGGATGGCTATGGTCCAGCTCAACTTTTTTCATATATTTACTTGACAGATAATGAAAAGATACTGTCGGACTATGGGACCACTTTTGTTACAGCGTGGAAGAATACTCACAACTATAGGGTATGGAATAGCAACAAGCATCCGGCACTTGCTGAAATAAATCCGAAGTAAGCACTTCCCTCTGCAGATTGACACTTGGGACATAAAATGGTGCGCTAAGTATACAAAGAAAAGCATACCCCAACATTGATATTGCATCTTCAAGAGGCTCCTTATGAGGGTTACAATAAAGCTCCCAGACAGAGAGAAGCAGCTTAGAAACTGCTCTCCCGTTCAGAGTCCTCCCGTGGGGAGCACCTGTCAGCACAAGCAGGGCTGTTGTTTCTCAGATGCATGCTTGCTGCAGAGAGGCAGGGCAGGGCACCTATGCTGCTCAGGCGTGGTGGTTCTCTGCCTTTCCCTGGAGCCAGAACTTGCCCTTCAACAGAATGACCAAGCAATATAGAAGCCTAGAAGGAAATATGCTCATGTCAAGCTAAGAGGCTTGCTTTATGACAGGAAGTGTGGAAAAACAATTAAAATTGATACATGAACTCCTCAGTGTATGTTCAAAGTTTCCCCATTAGATTCTGTAATTAAAAAAAAAAACTATATGACACATTGAATCAGACTAAGGGCTTATACACATGAGCATGGAAGACTTGCTGTGGGCTGGAGTAACACCTGTGTGCGAGCACCATGGGATAGAGTTGAAGGAGATCGACTGATAGAGTGTGTATACCCTCCCTGAAAATTACTTTCTAGATTAAAATTTTTAATTATTTATTAAAAAGAGCTTCCATCTCCTGGTTCTCTGTCAAAATGCCTGCCACAGCCCTGACTGGACCAGGCCAAAGCCAGGAACCAGAAACTCAGTCAAGGTCTCCAGTCTGGTTAGCAGTGACAACTACATGATGCCATCTGCTGCCTCCCAGGGGCGTGAGAGCAGAAGCTGAGCCAGGGCTCAAGCCCAGGTACTCCCACCTGGGCCACATGGGCTTCTTGCAGCTCAAAAAAATAAAGTAAAATAAAATAAAAGATTTATTTACTTGAAAAGCAGAGATCTTGCTTCCATCTGCTTCACTGGCCACATGGCCATAGTGGGCAAAGGTGGGGCGAAGCCAGGAGCTTAGAACTCCATTCTGTTTTCCCATGCAAGCGGCAAGGACCCAACGACTACTGTTTTCCCAGGAGGCTTAGCAAGGAGCTCGATTGGAGGAAGAGCGACTAGGACTCAGCCAGCAGTCCAACAAGGGTTGTTGGTGTCCCAGGTGGCAGTTTAACTGGCTATACCACAACACCAACCCCACAGCCAGGATCTTCACTACTAGGCCAATGCGTTTATGAGATTGATTTACTTATCTATTGATTTGAAGGGCAGAGAGCCCAGCAGTGTGGCCTAGTAGATAAAGCTGCAGTCTGTGGCATCAGCATCCCACCTGAGCCCCAGTTCAAGTCCAGAAGGCTTCCCTGCACTGACTGTCGGCTGTCTTCCCAGGCCCTGCCTCTGGGTTTTTGACTTGAAGCAGCTCCTTAAATGCTCAGTGAGGATGAGTTTTAAAGGATCATAAAATAGTACTTAGGATGATGCGTAAGGAAATTACGGTCACTCAGATCGAAAAGAAAGTGAAAGTGCCTGTAGGTAGGGAAACAGTGTGATAGCATATTTTCCACATTTCCCCCAAATAGAAACTAAGCAGCAGCAGCCTTTGAAGGTTATTATGTGTCATTTACAAAGATTCTGCTTGCATGGTGATTGTGAAACCATCAGGAATGACAGCTGTCTCTCCTCACACACGGCGGGCATGTCGCACTCCTTAAATACAGCCTTCCAGAACCATAGAGAAGGATTTGATCACCTGGCAGCTTTTCAACCCTGAGATTAGAACCCAGGGCATGGAAGAAATGTTACCTTGTTCACTTCAGCCAGAGAAGTTTTGTTGTCCTTTAAGAAAACCACAGACAGTGTTTGAGGCAGGGAGCGCCTCCCCCTCCCCCACCCGGACAGCGGGAGCCCGGGGCGCACCAAGGACTGGGATGTTTATTGACCCTCTCTTTTATTAGTGTAACTGTGGTCACATTGCCTGAGGTTTTTCATATGCTTTTATTTGTACTGTGGAAATAGGGAAGTAAGGAAGGGGTACTTTCTTAGAAAGGCAAAGGCCTGCATTTCTAACAGAGAATACGTGGGCTGACCCTCGGCAATCTCCGTGATCATGAAGTAACACACAGTTACAAGGTGTCCGGGAACCAGGTCTATCTGTGCCTGGAGTGTAATTCTGTCTGGCCCTGAGCACTCAGGGGAGCCTTAAAAATGTTGAGGTTTAGGTCACATCATAGACCAAATAATACAGGAAGCATTCCCGCAGCACACCCCGCACACGCACACACTGTGTTTCTCAAGTGAAGGGACTGGAGCTCAGAGGGCTAAGTGGTTTCTCGGGCATCTCCCAGCTGCCAGCGGAGAGCTTTAGCAGAGTGCTGCCTCCCAGCTCTGTCACCCCCGAGAGGTTTCCTAATAGTATCCTATGATAATAACTTTTTAAAATTATTATTCTTTGTTTCCCAGCCATCCATTTCAAGGCCAGTACTCCGTGTCAGACATGAAGTTAAGATTCTCACAGTGAGTACTTAGAGAAAATACTGGAAGAGTCTCGTCTGAAGTTGTGCCAACTGGGGGTTGTGCTTCTCTACTTACACACTTGGGCTTCAACCACTAACCAAGCACGTGCACAGCATGCTCCAGCTCAGTGGTGTGTGTGTGTGTGTGTGTGTGTGTGTGTGTGCGCACGCATGCGTGCGTGTGTCTTAAAGCCAACAGAGCGCCATTCTGCAGAGCGGTGGGCCCGAGCAACAGGATTAACAAAGTGAGTCTGCTGGGGAGATGTAACAGCCTTACATCCTGGCCGTTTTTTGGTTCATCTGGATGTCCCTTTAGTATGTTTTGACAGTTCACATGTTTGAAAGATGAATAAATTAATTCATTCATAACAAGTAATGAATCATTGAACTTCTTTTCCTAATAGTTCTAATTTGGGGTGGCTACAGAGCAGGTCAGCGTGTGTTGTATGTGTGCAGGATTTGTTTTTAATTGTATTTAACACTTCTTTCCTTTACTCAGTTCTGTCCAGAACAGTGAACGTGGCAAAAAAATTGGAAATGTCATGGTCTCAACGAGCCGGAATGTTGTACAAACAGGAAAAGCTGTAGGTAAGGCAAGCTGTTAGCTGGGTACAGATTGGACTCCTAACAGAAGTATTTTGTAGTTTTAACATGTAATTGGTAAAAAACAAAGTTATATAGATCTGTAGAGCACATAATTCAAGAGTTTTTTAAATTTTTGACTTGTTTGTTAAATTGTGACACAAAATATCAAAAACTCAACAAATGTTCCCACACCTGACAGAGGGTGACAGAATTTCCTGATAACATCTTTCTGTTTCCTAGGAGTTAGGCTTCTTTGGATAACTTCTACCCCATTCATTGCACTGACCATAATTTGTATAAATAGCAGAATCAGCATTCATTAAGAGCTGCTGCCTTCCAAAGTAGAATCATATCATGAAGAAAATGCACAAAAGCAGTAGTTGACATTTTGAAAAGATCAGCAATATTCACAAAACCTTTATAGATTGATAAAGATGGCAAATTATTCTATTGGGAGTCAAAGTAGGAATGTCCCTATAGATCTCACAGATATTAAAAGGATAATAGAATATGGTAAACAAATAAGAGTCCTACAGATTTAAAAATGTAATTCTTTGACTCAAATTACCAAGAAGTAAAAAAATCTATTCTAGAAATTCAAAACCTGGACTATAGTTCTCCATTCTTCTCATGCCTATTAGGCATCTATGGAAGATTCTGCTGTAAATCTAACAAGAAATCTTTGAAAAGTAGTAACCTCACACTTTTCTCTTGCAAACTCCAAAATCAGCTGTGTTGTGTTGTTCAGAGTTTGACTGTGATGTGTCAGGGTGAGGTTCTTTCCTCATCATGCCTAGTCGGGGTCCTAAGGGCTTCCTGTACTTGAATGTCTGTATTTTTCTCCAAACTGGGCCAGTTTGCTACTGCTATGTCACTGAATAGATTTTCTAAGCTGTTACTCTTCCCCCTTCCTTCAGTTGAGTATCAGTGCATTTGACAGCGTGGCAGAGATCCCCAACTCTGCGTTCCCTTTAGCTGTTTTCTCTTGTTGAGATATTTCAAAAGATCTGTCTTCAAGGTTTGGTTCTTTCTTCTGCTAATCAAGTCTGCTATTAAGGCTTTCCAGTGTTTTTATTTGTTTTTTTAATCTGACCTACTGCATTCTCCATTTCTAATATTTCTGTCTAGTTTTGGTTTGCATTTAGTTTGTTTTCATTTGCTATCTGTGTGCTGAATTGCACATCTTTTGTCCTTACTGATGTCATCATTTTATGCCAGTATGTGTCTCTGTTCCTTTGAATAACCTGACAATCATTATTTCTAATTCTTTCTTAGGTGTTTCATCAGTCTCCTGTCATGGCTGGGTACTAATGTGTTTTGTTTCCTTTAGGGTAATGATTCTGCCATGCTTAATCATATTTCATTTGTGTTCCTTCCTCAACTTTTGCGCATTTGGGAAATTTGTTTTTATTGCTTTTAGAAGAAAAATCTTAGTAGAGACTTTTTCTTGAAGATATGCCTACTTTGTGTTTAGTTCCAGTTGGACACCATAAAATATAGTCTCCTTATATGCTCTTTTATTTGGCCATGGTTGCTGGCAGCAGAAATGGGGATGTGGGTGCTGAGTGGCTCAGTGCAGGTCCCCGATTGCCTCCAGAGGGAAGTCCCAGAGTCGGGAACTTTTCAGGCGTGGCACTAACACTGGGTGGAAGGGGCAAGTTACACAGACACTATCTCAGAGAGTGGTCGAATCTGTGAGAGGGACTTTGGCTCAGCGAAAACCCACCGAGCAATTCTAGGCCATTCTCCTTGATAGAATTTTAAGGAAGTACATTGCCAGTAGTGCCAGGAGCTCACAGTTATCTCTGATTGACCAGTTATTTACATTTTCTTAGTCACATAAACATATCAAAATAGAACCTACTTCCTGAAATAGGTTGACTGACCCATTCAGAAGCCCAGGGGCTCGCTGCTGTCTGACTGGCTGTGCTTAAACCTTCAACATTCTGTAGGTCTAGGAGGAACAGATAATGGCGGACACATATTTAGAACCAGTGGAACACATGGGAGCTCTACCATGAAGCTTGTTTTGTTGCAAAGTAATGAAATTTGGTGTGTAAGCATTTATTTCCATGCTGTAATATCTGTTGACTTATTTTGAACCCATTTTTATTTATAAAAATTCCATTTATGCTTATACAATATGAATTGTTAAAACAGGGGGGCATAAGTTCCAAGACCCATAGTGGATGCCTGAAACCACAGTTAATACCAAACCCTATATATATACTTTCTTTCTATACAAACATAACTATGATGAAGTTCCACTTATAAATTGGGCATTGTAGGAGATTAACAACTACTACTATTAATAAAATAGCAACTGTAAATACCATAATAAAAATTATCTGGACAGTCTCTTCCTTTACTTCAGCCCTTCCCTGCAGGGGGCGCTATGGGCCATCTTTGGTGTGTCTGAATCACCAACATCCCTACTCTGCCCTGCAGGGCCATCATTAGGTCCAAGAAGGGCTCCTTGAATGCCCACCCTGTGACCCAGGACAGCCAGGCTGATAACGCTGCGAGAGCTCAGGCAGTGTGAGTGTGCTGCCTGGAAGGCTGGCTCCTGTCCTGACAGGCAGTGTGAGATTCCAGCGTGCCACTCACAGCACTGGGTCACGTTAGACGGGAGGTTACCGATGATCAGCTTGGTAATGAAGACACGAAGAGCAGAATTTACTGTTTATACTTTCCAAATGATGCTGATGAATAGCCAGGATTGCCAACCCTGTGGCAATTTCGAAATCCTTAGAATAGACAAGAAATGCCAAGAAATTAGACCCATAGATATTCTGTGGAAAGGAATCATTTTGAAACTAGACATGTCCGTTGCATTTTAGTAACTGAATGTATTGGAGTGTCCCAGTGGGTTAACATGTATTAAACAACATTGATCTTTCATTGTCTCTTAACCAAGTGAAGACGTTTCCCCTTTTCTCTGCCTCCTAGGCCAGTCTGTTGGGGGCGCCTTTTCCAGTGCGAGGACTGCCATGTCTTCGTGGCTTTCGACTTTCACCAGTTCCACCCCACAGAGTCTGACGGAGCCCCCGGATGGAAAGCCCTGAGCAAGGTGGCCAGGCTGCCATTGCTGTCCCAGGTAGAAGTGTTCCCTGTGTGCTGCTCCCAGACTGTGCACTGGCCGCGCGTCCAGAGCAAGGGACCAATATGTCGAGCTGTTTACACGGACAGTTGAGCCCTGTCTGAAACGATGGGATCACAGCCGGAGCACGAGTGGCTGTCCAGCTTGGGTTGAGATGGACTGCTTTTGTTTCGTTCTGAGCCTGATTAAACACACCTTGAACCTTCTAGTGGATTTGACATCCTGATGTGACACATTTGTTTACTTTAGAAAGGTTTTTACTTATGTGAATTTTATCCTGTTTTGCTGTTTGAATAGCTACACGGTCATTGTAATTTATATTTGCTAAAATTAAGTTATTATTATTTTAATTTCTCTCAAGTTGGCCCTAAAATGTGCAACCTTTGTTATTTTCGTGAATTAGCTGATTTTGTTGTTTCTACCCACAAAAGTTGCCAACTCATTTCTTTCCAGACATGGGACCGCCAGGGGCAGTGATCCTGCAGGACAAGACTGCTCTGTTTCACATTTCTCATTTGTTCTTTCCAAATCCTTAAAAGCCAGTGTGGAGGCATCGAGGAGTGTCGCTGTGTTCCTTCCCGCCCCGCCCGTGGGGTGGATGTGCAGAGATGGTGCAGAGCTGGGTCCGTGGGCGTGGGAGCCACGGGACGCACAGGCCGGTCAGTGCAGCCGTCCTCTCAGAGGTCACTGTCCACTCCAGTCATGTTGCAGTTTCTTACCAGCATTTTTTAACCCTGAATGTATGCACCTTCAGTTTCTTCTTTTGAACAGTTTCCCTTCGGTGTGTCAGATATACAGGGTTCTTTTTGTTTTTGTTTTCTCATCTACTCTTCTTTGTAGTCTTCATAAAGTTTTTCAAGGCTTTTGGCCTTCCTACTTCAGACTGAAAACACCCTGCCCCCAACCCATCTATAATCAGCCCCTGTCCATATGAAATCAGTCCCTTTACACTCGTAAAGAGAATCAAGATGATTTGTAAGTATTCCATGGAGACCCCAGCTTAGCCCACAGCCATCCCGTCAGTCATCTGTGGTGTAGACGAAGTCTGGTTTCACATTAGCCACCTGCTCTTGTGTGGCATCTACTGACGATTGTACATGGCTGGACCTGATGTGTTTGCTATAAGCAGCTCCCGTTTGCTTTCCAGGGGGACTTTAGATGGGTGTTCTCAGGGAGAATTTAAGGTGAACAGAGTGTCTTTTCTGTCACAAAGGACACGTGGTTAAAAATAAGTACGTACATATACACATTGGGAGCCTAATGCTAGAAAGAGTGCTGGGAAAATAAGAGGCTTGATTAAGCGGATGCTGGTTATGCTTGACTGAGCACTTGTGACGTGTATCTAAGGAGTTAATCCTTGTAAGGCATGTGTAGTGAACAGAGAGCAACAGCCACACACCCTCGGCTCCCCCAAGTGCAGGAAATGCAAAAGCTTACTTTCCTTTGAGCATATCAATCAGATTTCAGTGATGATCAACTGGAGAGTTTAATGAGAGAACTCCATTAATTCAGTGCTGCCAAGAAAGTGAACCTTGGGAAGTCATATTTGAAGAAAAGGAAGTGATACCAGCACAGCCTCAAAAAGTACTATAAAGATGTGCTGAGACCACGAAGGAGCCATTCTGACCTCTTGGCTCCTGGTGGCACATCGTTAGCATGATGTGTGTTCGTGGAGCATCGTTTCCTTGCAGCAAAGTACTCACTGCTAGGGAAACAGGCCCTGGTGTGCGGTTTGGTTAAGCTCCCATCTCTCACTATTCAATATCCACTCAACCCATACTTTGAAATCCACTGAAATAAAAATAGATGAAATTCACCTTTGCTTTAGTATTTCTTGTCCCCCATTTGGACATATATAATATGTAGTATATATTTTCATGTGAACTGTCTCAATGTTTCTAGTTGACTTATTCAGTGGTCACTCAACTGGCCTTCAGCATAAAATGACTAATTTCAGAAGTTAAAATTTAGGTCCTGGAAAGGGTTGGAAGGCTGTACCTATTCTTTCTGCCCATCCTGGAGTTTGTTGGAGTTTTCAGGGAGGACATGCCATGGTAGGCAGGGGTCCCAAAGTGACAGCACTATTGGGGACGGGCAGTCCTGCCCCTTGGCCTATGGGCCCACACACCTGGTGCTCACATCCCAGGCACCTCAGGTGACCAGCTCTGAAGCAGTCCCCTTCCAAGCAACACTTGTTGAGCTAATGGGTTCCAGGCCAGCTTCCACGGTGACATCGCTAATGACAAGGGTGGTGGCAGTGTCAGCAGCCACTCTGGCTGAGGCTTGAGGAAGTGAGGGTGAGCTGGCCTCTTCCAGGGTGTGACAGACTCCTGCTGTAGCTGGCTGGTAGTGGCCCTGCTTCCAGCTGGCCGGAAAGGAGTGTTTGAAAGATGCCCTTGTGTACTGTACTTCATCCTAAGCACAGTAAGGACAGTGGCACGGGGAAGGAAGGAAGAGAAAGTGGAAGTTCCCAGTCCTGGCCTCCATGGGTAGAATGGCTTGCTCATAGTATTTGTGTGTGTGACCAGCACTAGCAGTCTGACCCCAGATCCCATGGGATCACCAGCCCCGAAGGCCTCAGGAACTTCTCTAGGCGAGCTTTAGGAAGCAGATCCCCCACCCAGCCTTGGCTGGCTTCCCAGGAGCTGGAGGGAGCACGCTTTGTCTCTAAGAATTGCCTTTGGAAAGTCGAGGGGGAGGTAGAAGGGGGGGCCGATTGGGATGAGAGAGAGAAGTAACAGGCCCAGCTGAGGATCAAGGCTCTTTAAGTCCGAGTCTGACTGCAGGCGTCCCAAGCGCGGCACCTGCTCCACGGGTTGGAGGTTTCAGAAGGCAGTGAGAGCCCAGTGTGTGGGAGGAAGGTCTGTGCCATTCTTCCATCCTGTGCATGTTGTAGCCCAGTGGTCTTTGAGATGAGTCAGGGCGCCCTTCAACACTGGGGAGGCAGGGAAGCAGCCGCTCCTTGTAGCCTGTGCTGTGACAGGGAGTCACTGGGGCTCCAGAGGGCCGTCCCCCTGGCATGCTCTGGGCCCTTGACCAAAGGTGGCTGGCATGTGGGGCTTTCGCACCCAGCCTGTGGTAGCCTTGAAACATGCCAGGCTGTCGCCCTGATGACATGAAGAGTGTTGTCATTCCACATAGCATAATGTGCCACTCATTCCAAGTCTTTGGACCTCCTCATGTGGGAATCCTTCCATTATTTTGAGTATTCCATAAATATTTGTCTAAGACAAAAGGAATGTGGATCTTTTTTTCATATAAATGATTTTGTACACATGCCTTCTTACTTTCCTTATGAAGGAGGGTGAACTAGCTCCCTGGGTGATAAATCTGAAATCAAAAGCTTGTGCATGTCTCTAAGGAGTAGAATATATTTTGTAAAATTCTAAGTACATTTGTATTCCTGTGCTTACCTTTTTACTTACCAATTAAAGATATAGAGGCTATATATTTAAATCATGTAAATGGAACATCACGTAGGGTTTTTGTCCAATCTTATCTTCCATCAGCCTAAACACACACGTAGTATGCTGCTCAAATTTTTTTCTGTGCAATATAAATGTATGAACATTTCAGTCAGGTACTGAGCCAAGAAAGGTAATTGAAGTTTTCAGAAAGCTTCAGTCCTTAGAAAATATTTAGGTACTTTCTTATTAATATTCTATGGCTGGAAAAACAAGATGAAGATGTAGGTGTTTCAGGGCATAGGTTTCTAAGTTTAGGAAGCATCTGACTCACTTGATGAAGGCATTTAATGGTTACAAAAACAGTGTGACTACCTGAGATGAAAGGTTTTCCACAGACCCTTTCTAAGAATGTTTAGCTTAGCTGCGGCACATGTTTTGATCAGAAAGGTAGTTTCCCCTTGCGCTAAATAGTCCTATAATTTGTACTAGTTCGGGTTGTGTCTTTTTTTAAGTGTTAAAGTTATAAATCACATCTAATCACAATGAATTGTAAAACTTCTATTGTATCTTTATTTTAAGAAGGAAAGAATAAAATTACCCTGCTGGACTTGCGTGCAGTTGTGCCTGATCTGTCCTCAAGGCATGTATGTCAACCGTGTAATCTGACACGGGTGGCTTATTCCTGGCGATGGGCCGTCCAGCAGCACACTCGGAGAGGCTGGGGATGTGGGCTTGCCAGGAGTCTGGGAATGGGGGCAATCTGGGCTGGACATGGCTGCAGTGTCCCTAGGCATGAGTGTGGACTCTGACTGTGCTTGATTCTGACACCCACTGGTGCTTATGAGAGCCAGGGAGGGTGTAGGACAAACTGGATTGGGCCTCGGCTCCCACTGAACTACACAAGAGCTGTGTCAGGGGGACCAGGTGTGGCTGGGCTGTAACAACCAACAGTAAGAACCAGAGTGGGTGTGGGCCAATTGGGCAAGGCCACTGTTCCTGCCAGGACAGGAAGTGGACTAAACCTGGGCCAAGGACCCACCCGTGTGAGATCTGCCACTGGCTTGGAGAGCTCCTTTATTGGGACGCAGTCCCTGCAGGTGAACACAAGAACCAAGATAAGGAGCAGCCCAGACCAGGCCAGGTTTTACAGTACCTGCCGACATTCCTGTGGCTCAGGTCTCGGGGTGGGCCATTCTGGGCCAGGTCCCAGCACCCACTGGCAGATCTGAGAACCAGACAGGGTGCAAGACAGGCCAAGTCAGGCCACAGCACCATCCAGTCACATTAGGGCCAGGACCGGGGGCTGGCTGGGTCAGGTTGGGAGGCAGCACCCACCAGTGTGAGCTGGAACTGGATGGGGGGCAGGGGAGAGGCCAAGCCACAGCACCTGCCGGCATGTGCTGAGGTGAGATGGGCCATACCAGACTGGGCTGCAACACCCACCAGCACACGCAAGACTCAGGAGTGGGGATGTGAGCCCAGTAGGGGAGATGTAGGGACCCCACTACTGGACTACTGCCCCTGTTGGTGAGCATGACAGCTGGGACTGGGGGCAGATCAAGCTGTGCAGGGATACAATACCTGTTGGCCTGCATGTGAGCTGGGTCGGGGGTGAGCCAGACTGGGCTAACGAACTATCCACTGGTGCAGGCATGAGTTAGAATAAGGGCAGGCTTACTGGGCTTTGCCACAGCATCAGCTGGCTAGTGCTGGGACTGCAAGCAAGTTTTTCAAGTTAGACTACAGAACCACCTGGAGAGTGCAAGATCCGGGATAGGAAGTGGATCCAGTAGGGAAGCTGGGCACTTCTCTGATGGGCTGAAGCTCCCACTGGTGAGCATGAGAACCAGAACTGAGAGTGGGCCTGATTGGACAGGCGGCAGCACCTGCTGGCAGGAGGACTGGAGGGTGGAATCAGTAGGGTTGAGTTAGGCTGCAACATCCAATGATGTGTACAAGAGCTGAATGGGATGTAAGACAGACTGGACAACTCCACTGCACATGCTGGCAGGCACAGGAACCAGGGCTAGGGGCCAGCCTGGTGTGGTTACTAGGGGTCACTCTGACTGAGTTGCAGTTCCCAATGGTGTATGAGAGAGCCAAGTGTGTGGTGGGCAGAGTTGGGCTGGGTCGTAGTGCCCACTGGTTTGCAAAAGAGACAGGCCTGGAGAGAGAGCTGACCCAGCAATTGCAACTATCACTGTGTGTAGGCTGATATGGGTGACAGGATGAGCTGGACCCCATACTGGCAGGTGCACATGAGTCAGGTCTGGAATGATCTGATGAGATTTCTTTGAGGGTCCCCCAAACTGAACTACTGGACTCAGAACTCCAATCATGGGGAGAGTGGCAGGATCTGTGATCTGACAGCGGAGTGCCTGTATCCGAACAGGGCCCCTTCAGTTACTGACGATGGTGCAGTGGACAGAAGCACATGGAGGATTTGGCAGTCCATTGGAGCCAGAGGAGGACATCCGGTACCATAGCAGAGGAAAGAGGGCTGGATACATTGGCCAACTACCCTAGCCAAACGATGACAGCAAATTTCTGGGCGAATGGAGACTCTAAGATGGACTATGTCAGCCAATGGACCTTGGAAGGATTTTCTTATCTTGGATCTGCGAGATTGACAGCATATCAGAATTATCAAAACCACTTAAGCAATACTCTTGGAGCATGCTCCATATTGGGGACCCTAGGATGACATCAGGTGGCCGTTCCTCATCCTGAGGTACTGAAGTAGTTGTTTGGCTGGGTGTGGCTTCTCCCCTTGTCTCCACCCTCCCCCTAGATACAGGAAGAAAAAAAAGAAAATATGGAAACAAAGGTCTCATCCACTTGCCCCTAACCCTCGATCCTTCCTACCCTAATCAACCTATGTAAACATCATCAAAAACAAAATTAAAAAAATGTTAAGTGACAGTGCCTGCTTCCTTTATTAAGAAGCCAGCACACAGGGACTGGCGTGTGGTACAGTAGATTAAGCCACCACTTGGGATGCCCATATCTCAGAGTACCAGACAAGTCTCAGCTGCTCTGCTTAGGGTCTAGCACCCTGCCAATGCACTTGGGGAGATAGCAGAAGATGGCACAGGTATCTGGGCCTCTGCTCTCCATACGGAAGAGCCAGATGGAGTTCCTGGCTCCTGGCTTCAGCCCGCACCAGAACTGGCTGTCTGCAGTCCCATAGACTGAGGTTCTTTCTCTTTCCCTCTCTCTTTCTCTCTCTCTCTCTCTCTCGGTCACTCTGCCTTACAAAATAAATATCAAGATCATACAAACGTGCTCAAGGATTTTTTGCTCACTCACTTTCTCATTTTAGCATTGCTGCTGGGATGACCACCATGGGAAAGCCCATTGAATCTGTGATGCTCTGAGCGCACATGTTTGACCAATCATGTCCCTTCACAAGGCTGAGAGGAGCCATGCAGGGCAACAGGATCTTGCCCCAAGCCACCATTTTCAGTGCCATTTCAGCTGAGGGTTCCTAGCACATTTCCCCATCCATCACAGTGGTACACTGGGGTTCCCTTTCACTGCCCCAACCCCTGGGAGCCTGTGCTGCCTTGAGCCCGGGGACAAAACTGTTGGAATGTGGGTGTTCTCTGCTGTGGGCCATGAGGTCCTGCCTCTCTGTCTCTCTAATAAAACCACAAACAAACAAATGACCCAGTCAAGGTGCTGGATGGTCTGTGAGCCTTTGGGAAGCTGCAGTGAAGGGCACATTCCCTGCCTGTCCCAGCTCCAGAGCAGGACCCCATTTTCTGGCTCAGGGCACTTCCCCCCAGGCATGCATCTTTGCCCACCCTGGACAGGCTCTGCTGCAGTCACACTGCCCATCCCAAGGTTGCTAACGTGAAGCACACCGCATGGCGTCATTGCCCTGCAAGCTCACATGTTCACAGGGCCTGGGAATGGACATGGGCATTGCTGGGCCCTGGGAGGGCAAACTTCTGCCCGTGGCACAGCGTGAGTCCTTGTTTGCTACTCTGCCCTCTGCCCTTTGAGAGCAGGCGAAGGCCCGGGAAGAACACATGAATCTACTGGGAGCCCAGAGCATCAGAGCAGGAACCAGGGAGAGCCCCTGAGACCCTCCGAGTTCTGGCAACTTGGGGGACCTGGGGAAGGCCATGGCCACTCAGAGCAGAGCAAGCAACTTGGGCAAAGATGCACACACCCTGCTGGTGGAAAAGGGCCCAGTCTCTGCCACTGGTGACTAGGGAGGTAGTGCACCCTGGCTTAGAAGGGTCCCCGCAACAAAAGATGTGGGGCCGCTGGGGTCCTCCGCAGGGCCTGGGCAGACACAGGGAGTTCAGAGGAAAGCCTTTCCAGTGCTCACAGCTGGAAGCAATCAGGCTTTGGGGATGGAGTTTCCTGAGCTCCTTCATCATCCTCAAAGGCCCTGTTAGGCTGTAGCTGTGTGGAGTCCCAGTGTACAGGGCTGGCACTCGGGGAGGAAAAGGAGGGAGGCGGGCAGGGTGTGTGGGGAAGGCTTGCATCCTGCTGAAGAGGCTGAGCACCCCTTAGAGCCAGCTCCAGATTCTTGTGGCTCCCCGGCACCTCTGGCAGCTGGTTTCCAGGGCCCGAGACATGCAATCACCTACATCCCGGGGGATGGGAAGGGCAGGGACAAACCGGCCCCAGCAGGTCATCAGTCTGCAAATTGCCCCTCGCTAGCACTCCTCCTTCCAGGAGGCCAAGCTGGGCCCCTGGCTTCGGTCCCCAAGAGCTGGAAAAACCCTGAACAGCCTGAGGGAATCAGCGAAGGTGGCCTGTGTCTGGCCTGGGGAAGCTGCTCCAATCTTGAGGGCAGCAATGAGAAAGCAAGACAGGAGCCTGCCAGGCTGCCCACAGTGGAGAAGCTGGGGGAGAAACTCAGGAGGAGCGAGACTGCCATGGGCCCCTGCTGTCAGATAAGCGGACAGGAGGCACAGAGGCCATCCCAGGGCCAGCTGCATGGCTGGAAAAAGACTGATCCTTACAGCAGCCATGTGCAAGGCATTAAATCAGGGACAGGAATGCAACAACAGCAGGCCTCTGCCCTGGGATGTCAGTAGCAACTTCCACTTCCCTGCTTACTGCAAGAGGCTTTCTGGGTGCTAGGGACCCCCAAAAGGTGAAGGCGGACAAGTCTGGGATTGTTGTGTGTCTGGGCAAGCTGTAGAAAACCTGTGAGGGCCTCTGTGCTGGATATAGAGGACCAGGCCGACTCAGCTTTCAGATTTAAGATGGGAGACTTGGCTCTGCAGCCTATCCCAGGTGCCATTGACACATTCCCCACCTCAATACACAAACACACACACACACACACACACACACACACTTGACCTTCCACCCCTGCCTCTCTTCCCTCCCAGGAGTATGGTGGGCAAAGCAGGAAGGAAGGTCTGGGGATCCTGAGTGGACATTAAGGAGTGTCGATGCCTTGAAGATGGAGCCCGGACAGGAGGCAACAATGAGGGGAGTCTTTAGGGTGGGGTGTGGAAGCAGCAGGACATCAAATTCTCAGTCATGGCATTGTTCGCAATCATGAAACACGGGGAAAAATCATGAGAGGCCAAGTGTTGACACCGAAGTGCTGAACAAGCCAGGCTGCTGCCCGGCTGCCTGGACAGTCATTGACTGCTAGGGGCGATGTGAAGACAAGACGGCCAAGAACTTCATGGTGCCCAAGCAGGTGGCTCCCAGGCCTGCGGGAGCCCAGATGGCCTCACTCTGCAAGTTCTCTCCTTCCCACGTCTCTAATGGCCCCTGCTCAAACAACTATGAGAGTGCCAGAAAGCTGAAGCATCTGGGCAGTTTCCATCAGCTTTTGAATCATTCCTATTTGGGGTAGGAGACAGAGGGGAGAGTCCAGGCAGGGAAAAAAAGGCAAAGCCATGGGGGCAAAGCCCTGGGGAGCTGTTTCAGCAAGGCCCATTGGACTCTGAATTCAAGGGCTCTGCAAAGTGTTCACTGAAGAATGAACTGAAAGCATAAGTCTGTTTGCTATCAAAAAAATTAGATTCTAGGCATAGTTTTGTTTTTAAAGATGTATTTGAAAGGCAGAGTTAGAGATCTCCCATCCTCCGGTCACTCTGGAAATGGCCGCAATGGCCCCAGCTGGGCCAGTTGGGAGCCAAGAGCTTCCTCCAGGTCTCCATGTGGTTGCAAAGGCCCAAGGACTTGGGCCATCTTCTGCTTTCCCAGTCAGACACATCAGCAGGCAGCTGGATCAGAAATGCAGCATCCAAGACTTAAATCGGCACCCACATGGGATGCTGATACATTAGTATTTTACTAGCTATGCACAGTGCCAGCCTCACATAGTTTTTTCACTATATATTTTTTTCAAGAACTTTTTGAAAACTACCAATTCTAAAGGTGAATTTTGAAATTGTTTCACCCTACAAGAAACATATTTTCCAGGAATTAAAATGTATTTATATTTGAAAAGCAGAGACCAAAAGAGATGACCCACCTGCTAGCTCATTTCCCAAGATACGCACAACAGCTGGGGTTGGGCCTGATCAAAGCTAGGAGCTCAGGATTTGATCCAGGTCTCCCTCCTGGGTGGCAGGGACCAAACCCACTTGAGCCACCCCCCGCCACCTGCTGCCTCCTGGCGTGTGCATTATCAGGAACCTGGTCCGGGCTGCAGCCAGGCTTTACCCTCAGATAACCTGGGACAGGACACAGGCAGCACAGGGATCTGTCAAACACCCACCTGCCACGAAAAGCCTGTTCTGAATTCTCTCTCTGCCACCCCTCCTGCCCCGTGTTTCTCTATCCCAGTCAATACAGTTGTGGGCTAACTCCTTGGTTTGGAAATGCATGGGGAGAAGAAATGCCTGGGGCGTGGCGGGCAGTACATGAATGTTGTCACAGAAACCTCGTGTTCCTTTCCACGCCACAATCTGCAGATGGCTTTCTCAGAGGCCCCTGTGGCTTACACACTGGGCTGTGGAAGTGGCCCAGGGAGCCTAGGAGGTGACAGCAAACCCTGCTTTCTGACGGGCCACGCCTGGGAACCCCAGCAGAGGAAATATGCCGCCTCACAAAGAAGGCCAAGAGTGAGAACGGCTCTCCGTAACCCAGGGAGTTCTGATCCAGGACAGAGAGCTCCCAGCTGGAACTCAGGCAGGGACAGCATCCTGATTTGACCTAAAACTGTCCAAAACAAGACCCTCTGTCTTTATTCAATACTTCTATCCGCAACTATATTCCTACTTGGTGTAACATATTTCACTTTGAGAGATGCAGCTGTAAGAAAAGCCCCACCCTCCAAAGCAAAGATCGTTTTGTGACCAACAGGAATACCAGTACTGTATCAGATGACAAGGTCATGGTTGAATGGGGTCAGTGCCAGCCTCCCATTTGAGCACCAGTTCACATCCCAGCTACTTCGCTTCCCTTCCAGCTCCCTGCTTATGGCCTGGAACAGCAGTGGAGAATGGCCCAAAGCTTTGGTACCCCGTACCCATGTGGAAGACCAGGAAGAGGTTCCTGACTCCTGGCTTTGGATCAGCTCAGCCCTGGCCCCTGAGGCCATTTGGTGAGTGAACCAGTACATCTTTCTCTGAGTCTCCGCTCTGTGTATCTGCTTTTCTAATAAAATTAAACAAAATAAAAACGAAAAATCATGGTTGAAGGTATTAGGATGTAAGAAAGGAATCCTTTCTAGCACACAGTAAGAGGTGATTATCATAAACATCTAACTTACAGCCAAAAAAAAAAAAAAAAGTAAAACAAAAAGCTTGCCTAGAAGTTAAAGCTTATGGGGGAAAAAGGATAAGGCTGTCATTTTAAGCCAAACAGAAGAGGACCTTAAATGCTCTAAGAAATCTGTGACTTCATTTAATAGGCAGCTCAGAGCTGCAGGCCTTAAACACGAGAGCAGTCTGGCCTTGTGGTAGTTGAAGTCCCTGTCCAGGATTGTGGTGCCTGAACTCACCGCCTGGCTCTGGCTCCTGACTTCAGCTTCCTGCTAATGCAGAGTTTACGACGTGGTGGTGCTGGCTCAAGTCACAGTACCCATGGCGCAGGCCACTGGCCTCAGCAAAGCTGTGATGGGCCTTGAAAAGAAAGCCTGGCAGAAGTGGACTCTTGTAAATGTACCAAGAGAAGCATAGAAGATCCTCCATCCACTGGTTCACTCCCCAAGTGAACACAATGGCCAGACCTGAGCCAAATCTAAGCCAAGAGCCAGGAGCCTCTTCCACATCTCCCATGCAGGTGCAGGGTCCCAAGGCTTCTGGCTGTCCTCAACTGCTTTCCCAGGCCATAAGCAGGGAGCTGGAAGGGATAAGGAGCCGCTGGGACATGAACCGGCACCCATATGGGATCCTGCACATGCAAGGCAAGGCCTTATGAAACTTTTAAAAGTACAACAAAGAGGTTTCTTCTGGTCTGTTACCAGTTCATTACACAAATACTTAAGAAAAAAAATCTATTGTCTGGTCTGCATATGGTATATTCTGAGACCCTGTGCAGAAGACTAAAGATGCAACCCTTTATGTTTAACTCGTTTTTTACACATATGCTTATGAAAAATAGCTTTTAAATGAGGCACACACAGTAAGAGACCAACAATGCTACAGAAGACAAGTGGATGGCTCCCTCCACCTACTGGCAGTCCATCTCATAACCACCATGGCTAGAAATGACTTTTGAGCTGGCAGCAGGCCCTCACCTGAACATGCTGGGCAAAGTGAAAATGAAGGCCAATGAGAGGCCATGCTATTCAACGTAGTGCACAACTGAAAGCTTATGAATTATTTCTGGACTTTGCCAAATTACTGTATTTCAGCCCACTGTGTGGGTTACAAATCAAAGAAAGTGAAATCACAGGTAAGGGGGAATGCTACCATTTATAGAGAGAAAAGTGTATCTAGAAAGACACCTCAAGCAAAAAGCTGATGAAACGACCTACAACTAGCAAGGCTGACCCAGGAAGATCAAAACTGAAACAGATAATTTCCATCACAAAAGAAAAACAAATACTGAATATATACAATTTATTTAATAAATTAATGTCATTCAAAATACAGTGCCAGAACATGATGCAGTTGAACATGCTAGTAATGTTTGTCATGAAGCACCTGTGCTCATGTTAAATTGGCGGCGCCCCACTACTGCTAGTGGTTCCTGGGATTAATGCCAGAGCAGTGTGAGTTACCTGCTCTTCTGCACAGCTGGTGCAGAAAATTCCTGAACAGTTCACCTTCCTAATCCTAACCCCACAACACACACACACACACAACAGGTTAAAAAAAAAGACACACCCTGACAGCTAACAGATACCTATACACAATCACTCTACAGTAATGCTTGATATTAAATTAAGATGTAATGACCTGGTTAACCCACTCTAAATCTTTAAGATGGAGAGCTATGTCAGCAGCAGGTAATTATACACATGAGCCAATGTTAATGTAATACAAGAGTGGAGACATTTACTGATTAAAGCTCCACACAGACCCGCACAATGAGGGGCTAGCAATTCTTATTGCAAACCCAGCGATGTAAGTCCATACTGGTGTATGACCAGCTGACTGGACAACCTGTATTCTAGACAGACAGTATAAGTTAGTGGAAAGAGAATACATGCACCTAAGAGTATAGTAAGACTGATCCTGCAGTCATAGCTTTCCCTGTGTAATACCATTAAGCTATGGAAGATCTTCCTCAACCATAGAATAGGATTTAGACAACTCTCAACCAACATGGACATTAGTGTTAAGTGCAGCTGAATTAGGTACACTGGAAAAACTGTAATCCAAGACTTCAGAAAAGCAGCACGGGAATGAAATACATTACTAAAATAACCTCAGCACAATCTGTGATATACCACACTAAGAACAAAAAACTATATAAGTGAACTTCTCGAACTGTACATACACAGGGCTAACAATGTTAGATAATCCAAATTCTTATGTTCTCGTGATACACATAAAAGTTTCTCAATTACTGAATAACCTATTTCATATTATGGAAGCATATCTTTCTGTAAGACTCACTGATATATATATTATACTGATGCAAATATTAAGTAGGGCATAAAAATAAAATTTATCAAAGATAGATTTTTATGTACTCCTATTTAGTTCTTTCATAGCCTCTCATTTAGCAAACAATTGACAAAATACATAAACCAAGCGTGCACTCCCTGAACTCCCCAACTATACAGGTGGTAGTGCAACCATCTCTCCATCCAGTTCAAATTCTTCTGTCCCATCTGGCGAGAAGAGATAAGTTGGTGGTTTCCACGGAGATTCTTCAAGGCAGGATGGGTAAAGCTTCCCCACAGTGCATCGAAAATCTCTGCCCAGGTCCCACAGTACCCGTTCGGATATATGCTGCCGCAGAGACCACCGATCAAGCTCCAGATCATACTGGTAGGTGACATACTTTGCTCTCTCATTTAAGTGTGTTTCCCGCATAAACACACACAGAGAATTTGAGATCACAACAGCTCTCACACAGGGGTCAGAGTACCTCTTAGCGGGGATGTTGGCTGCCATTTTCCACTCATTTTTATTCACATCATATATTTCCACAGTTACTGAAGATCCATCTACAGTGCCAGAAGGGAGTCTGATTCCAGAATTGGTAGCAATATGCAATCCTCCAATATAGAAAATTTTATCACCAAATGCTGCAGCTGAAGCAAAGGACCTGCTTGTCTGTCTCATGGCCATTTCCACCCACGAGTCAGACCTTGGGAAGTAACAGTACATGAGGTTCAGCGTCATCACATAAATGCAGTCATGAACCACAACAGCGGCACTCCACTGCCATGCACAAGGCAAAGGGCTGACCATGGTCCACTCGTCCTTCTCCGTGTCGTACCTTTCTACAGTCCTCCGGTTCAGTTCTCCACCTACGCTATCTCCTCCTATCGCATAGATGTAGCCTTCACAGCAAACCAAAGACGGCTTCACACGGACAAAAAGCATTGGGGTCTTTGGAAACCAGGTATTTTGCTGTGCATCAAACCAATAAAAACAATTCACAGTTCTGAAGGCAGTCTGAAGTTTGCTTGTTTTACTGTGATTCGTTTTTGTGTTTTTCAGAGGGACTTGACCTCCTGCTATGTAAATGTCATTATCAGGAGTTACAACAGTCCCAACCTTATGCAAATCGGCTGGTGGACTACACAGTTTGTAAACTTTTTCTGCCTGGGGGCTGTAACAGACAGAAGAGTAAAGACTACAAGGATTTTCTGAAGATGCTTCAATGAAAATCATCATCTCCTCTTTAGTCATCCCAAGTCTTGGTTTGAAAAACTTCGGCATGGATTTATAAAGACCTTGAACCACCACAGACTTGTCATTGGGTGGCAGACCTTGAAACCAAGCTCTCTGTGTGACTTCTGAAAGTGCATCAATTCTGATTTGGCTGAGAACTGAAGACAAGTACTGGGACCGTGACTCTGTGTTGTACTCGAGCCACAGCATAGCAGCTTCTCGAACAGTCTCTTCTTTTTCGACATTTAAATTGTCACTACTGAGGATGTCTATCAGCAGGTCATGTGACAGCTGCATGAAAGCTTCCTGGTGATACACAGCCGTGAACTTGTGCTCCACCATTCTTTTAGCACTTTGCTTCAATTCCTCACAACTGAAGAGATCAGCGAAACTTAACAATCGCACACAATTCTCTGCATTTATTTTTTTAATTAAATATTCTCGACAACGTTGCAACACATCTTCTACCTAAAATGAGAAGGAGGGGAAAGAAGGCTGATAAGAGCGGGACAGGTTATTTCTGACCGATTTGAGAGATAATAGAGCACATGTGTATGCTGGCAGGATCTGTGTCAGCTGACGTCAAGAGGGGAGAATTAAGTTCAGGTCTCCTTTTCAAGAGAATTATTTTTAAACATTTCTCCATTTCAGAGACAGCAAGTAAGTGAGCAGCCAAGAGCGGCAGCATGCTCTATCCAGCTCCCCAAATTCTCACAAGACAGGTCTCCCAATCACGTGAGACATGGTGGATGGTTGTCAGGGTCTTATATCAGCAGGAAAGTGAAATTGGGAGCTGATTCTGGTGGCAAACGCAGACATTCTGACATGGACAGAGGCATCTTCACGGGTATGTCACATGCCTACCACAGCACAGTTAACAGGATCCTTATCACTGTACTTGTCCTTTTCATGTACATAGACAACAGTTTTTTCACAGTGTTCAGGAAAAATGGGACTGTTGAGTCAGCTACTTTTTGAGTCCCAGCCTCTCCACTTGCTCTAGCTTCTGGCTAACAAGTCTGGAAAAGCAGCAGATGACGACCCGCACTCGTGAGAACAGGATGGAGTTCTGGCTCCTATCTTCATTCAGCCTGGCTCAAATGTTGCAGCCATCAGGGGAGTGAACCAGTGGATGGAGACATCTGTCACTCTGCCTTTCAAATCTTCTTAAAAAGTAATTCTTTGGATGCAAACTTTTGAAAATATACATAAAGGGGTTCTTCAAAAAGTCCACAGAAAATGTGTACTATGAATAAAACTATGCATGGATTTCCATTTTTTTTTTGCATCAAAATTAACCTCCCTTTTTTCCACAGCTATTTGAAATACCCTCATATTTGGACCAGGACACAAGGCATTCTGCAATAATAAGGCTATATATAGTTTTATATTTCTTTTTCTCAACCAGTGGCACACCTAAATGTCCCATTTAAAAACAGCACCGCTGTTAAAAAAAAAACAACAACTAAGCAATAAGGGTTATGTATGGAAATTTCATATATTTTACACTGTTTTAGCTTTTAAGAATACAGAGTTCTTAAATATGTTTAAGAACCTAAGAAAATGAAATAAACCATGGTACAGGAAATCATTATTTTCAGGTACCTGTACTCTGGTTTTCTCAACTTGGCCAAAGTAACTTTTACATAAAGCTAATAAATCATGCACAATGAATAAGGGTATTATTTGCCATTCTTAATAGAGAAGATAGCACTGAAATCTGTGTGATTATAGGTCACCTGTATTTTAATGACTCAGCCACTCCATGCTCCCGAGATTTGTTATTTCTTAAGAAGGAAGAGGTGGTGGCAGCTAAGCACAACGCTTGCTGTGCTGGCTCCAGTTTGGGCTGCCTTGTACTACTGTGCCTGGGGGATAGTGGAGGGGACTCCTACACCCCACATATGAAACCTAGAAGAAGCTCCCGGATTCAGACCGCCCCAGCCCCAGCCTTACAGCCATTTTGAGAAGAGAACCAACAGATTGAAGACCTCTCACTTTCCACCTTTCCAACAAAATTTTTTAATGACTTATTTATTTTTATTGCAAAGTCACATTTACAGAGAGACAGGTCTTCCTTCCATTGGTTCACTCTCCAAGTAGTCGCAATGGCCAGAGCTGAGTCAAACTGGAGTTAGGAGCCAAGTCTCCTACATGCATGCAGGGCCCCAAGGCTTTGGGACACCCGCTACTGCATTCCCAGGCCACAAACAGGGAACTGGATGGGAAGTAGAGCAGCTGGGATCGAACTGGGGCCCATATGGGCTGAAGGAGGAGGATTAGCCATTATACCCGCCCCCTCCAATAAAAGGCAAATCTCAGCTGAATTAGAACTGCTCATCTAGCACACTTATTCAGCATCAAAGTGACTGAATAGAAGCACTTTACTGTGAGGAATCAAGTTCTTGAACTTGTAACTTGGATCGGCCAACTGGTACTGATTTATCAGGAAAATGGTTTTACCTTTCTAACCCTCAGTTTTATATAAAATGAGGAAGCAGTAGTTGCTGAGCTCAAATGATTACTTCAAAGATTAATTAAAATCTGTATAAAATTTATGTAGCATCCAGCACAAGAATTCACACAAAGAAATTGCACATATGACATCACTGTTTCTTTACAAGGTAAGCAGAGGAGGAAAAAAGTCTACTTACCTGTAGGAAGCAAGCTGTTTCATAAAGCTGCTCGACCGTGCTGTCATTTATTGCCAAGTTACCCGTGTAAGCGTATGTTATGATTATCTGTAAGGTGGCAGCATCCACATTTCTCAGGTGTACATGCGTCTGTTTACTCTCACTCAGTCCACTCATGAACATGGCCCTACGGCAGAGCAGGAAAACAAAGCTGCAGGATTTAGTGTTTTAAAAAAATGTGAAAAGAAAACCTAGGTAAGTTGAGATATCTAGGCCAATAACTTAAAGCCAAGAGTTTTGGGACAGCAGAAAAGCATATAATCCAGTGTGAAAGCTACAAGACAATTCCACTGACATCCAGTAATAAAATAACACTAATAAATGGTGCAACATAAAATACTCCAAAAACATGCTTTGAAAGTCTGTATGTATCTATTCATATGAAATGTCCAAAAAAAAAAGCATATCCACAGGAATAGTTGCCTACAGTTATAGTTAACAATGAGTGAGTGGACACTAGGTAACGGAGATCCTCTACCTTAGCTCATGGAAATGGCTGTAAACCCACATACGTACTAAAGCTCACCGAACTGCGCCCTCATCCCTCAGGATCTGGGGGGATTAGTTCAAGGAGGTTCCTCTCAAGATACCAAAACCCAGGGAGCACCGAGTTCTTCATAACCTCTCATATACTTTAAACACTCTATCTTACTCATAACACCTAATACAATGAAATGCTATACTAGGAGTTAGGCTGCATTGTTGAGGGAATAACAAAACCAGCTACACATGCTTGGTGTAAACAGATTTTTTTTCCCCAAATTTTTTTTTTGTAAGGTGGAGTTTCACATTTAACTTTTATTTTTCATATAAGACAGGTACACAAGCACACATACACACACATTGCTTATCCATCACTGGAGAGGAGAACTCACCGGCTCTCTCACATGGTTGAACGTGCTAGGCTGTGCACTAGCAGGAAGCCTGTTTAGAATCAGTGCTAATGTGAAAGCTGTGTCTGGGTGTGGTCCAGGTTGTGGCTGGGTGGTAACATCCAACAGCAAGAACCAGAACGGGTGTGGGCCGGTTGAGCAAGACCACTGTTCTTACCAGGACAGGACGTGGACAAAGTCAACCTGGGCCAACACCCCTCTGGTGTGCGTGAGAACTGCCCCTGGGAGGAGTCTCCTGGGAGGAGACTCGATAGAGGAGTTTGGGAAACTCCTTCATTGGGACACAATTCCTGCAGATGAATTCAAAAAGCAAGGCAAGGAGCAGCCCAGATCATGCCAGGTTATAGTACCTGCCAGCATACATGCGGGTCAGTCAGGAAAGACCAGTCTGGACCACTTTATAACACCCACTGGAAGATCTGAGAACCAGGAGAGGGAGCAGGAGGAGCCAGATTGGGTCGCAACACCAGCCAGTTCACATTAGGGCTGTGACAGCAATCAGGCTGGGCTGAAATAGGCTGCAGCACCCACCAGCAGGAGCTGGAACAGGTGCCAGGCTAGACCAGGCCATGCTATGCAATAAGACTGTGGATGCTGAGATGAGGCGAGTCATGCCAGTCTGGGCCCAGGTTGTTGAGTCCTAGGGACAGAGGATCTGACAAGGCCTGGGTAGCTTGCCTAAGGTCCTAGGGTCAACCCGCATGTTGGCGGCCAGGTTAGTGAGCCACTAGGAACAGGGGATCCGGTGGAGCTTGGGTCATCTGGCCCAGGTCTTGGGACCTGCCTCCTAGTTGTATGTCAGGTTTGTGAGCCCCGGTGGGTAGGGGATCTAGAGGGGTTCAGGTCACATGGCCCATGCACTGGGGCCTGCCTGTAAGGTGGGTGCAGGTTTATGAGCCCCAGGGGTGGGGGATCCAACGGGGCTTGGGTCGCCTGGCCCAGGTCCTTGGGTTCACCTGTAAGAACACGTCCTACTTAGTGAAAAAGGTGAAGCACTGGACACAGGCCCCACTGTACAAGGAGAATATGGCAGCTCATTTGGTGTCATAACAAAAGAAGGATAGCAGAACTAACTAGACAACAACCCCAGTCAAACAATGGTAGCAAAAAACCTTGATGAATGGAGACTTGAGGCTTATTATTATCAACCAATGGACATTGGGAGGGTGACATCATCCTTGAATCAGTGATACTGATTGACAGTGTTCCAGGACTATTCAAACCACTTGGGCAGAATCATCGGAATATGTACACATTGAGACTCTGGATTGATATGAGGTGGCGGTTCCTCATCCCTGGGTACTGGGACATTTGGAAAGTCGTGTGTGACGTCCCTCTTTGTCTCTCCCCTTACCCCAGAAACAACAAGAAATAGCAAAATTGGAAACAATGAGTTTACCCAGTTTTCCCTAAACCTCAATCTTTCCCACATGATCACACATGTAATCATTATAAAAAGTACAATTTAAAAAAATTAAAAAGAATCAGTGCCAAGACTCAAACCCAGGTACTCTAATACAGCCTGCAGGCAGCTTAACCCATACATCAAATACCTGCACATCTCCAACATGATTATAAAAACTGGTTAGTTTGAAAGGCTGGGAGAAAGATCAATCTTTCATTCACTGCTTCACTCCCCAAATGCCTGCCAGGGGCCAGGTCTAGGGTAAGCAAGGTGCCGAGAGTCCCATCCAGGTGTCCTACGCGGGTGCAGGAACTTGAGCACTGGGTCATCATTTGTTGCCTCCCAGATGCAGTGCTAAAAAGCTGGGTCTTGAATGAGGTACACTGATAAACAATTCCGGCACCCCAAGATGCAGCTTAGTCTATTGCACGGTAACACTTACTGCTCTTTTCATCATTTCGGGTCCTCCCCTCTCTAAATTTATGCGCCTGAAAGGAAGTTACAGGCAAAGACAGAGAAAATTCGTCCATCCTCTTCTTTACTTCCCTGAAGCCAGGAGCCTGGAATTCCATTCAGATCTCCCCGTGGGTTGCCGAAGGGCTAAAGCCCTTTCCCACCATATAAACAGAGAGCTGGATCACAAGTGGAGCAGTACCATAACACTGGCACCACACTATACATTTTAAATTGGTGGATTTTACCATGTCCATATGTAAATTAGCATTTCCATAAAAAACTAACATTTCTATTAAAGGTTAAGAATTTCATTTACTCAATTTTCTAAAAACATGTAGAGCACTTCATTAAGTCTATCATGCACAAAAAGCTACCCTTAAAGGGTACCTGGCATTGTAGAGAATACAGAGCATGTAAGCCAAGGGCAGAAAAGCGCCATATGAAACAGTGATCAGCGGTGCGTATCTGGGCCCAGCATGGTAGCCCAGCGGGGAAAGTCCTCACTTTGTACACGCCAGGATCCCATATGGATGCTGGTTCTAATCACAGGCTCCCTGCTTGTGACCTGGGAAAGCAGTTGAGGATGGCCCAAAGCCTTGGAACCCTGCACCTGTGTGGGAGACCTGGAGGAAGTTCCCGGCTCCTGGCTTCAGACTGGCGCAGCACCGGCAGTGGCGCTCACTTGGGGAGTGAACCAGACGGAAGATCTTCCTCTCTGTCTCTCCTCCTCTCAGTGTATCTGCCTTTCCAATAAAAATAAATAAATCTTAAAAGAAAAAATCTTTGTAAGGACTCCTTTCATATCTCTTCTGTACTTAAATGATTTGGCAAACATTACACCATCTAATTAGTAGTTGAAAACATTAAGAGATTTTTTTCCTAAAAAACATTGAGATTTAAAAAATTTTAAATAGCACTTAAGAGAAATCCTATAAAACAAGCTAACATTTTGGATTTGTAAAATACAACTTAACCAAGAAAGTACTTACCTGAAGTAAGAGCTACATGTTGCAAGAACCATCTTATGACAGGGGAATTCAGTGCCCTCAACAACTAACACTATGTCAGTGAACAACTGCTGTTCATAAAACAGCTTCAACTGCTCCAGCAAGGACACAGCATACTCGGTATTGATCTGCCTCTCGTCTTGAGTGGACATGACTGTATTCCATTAATATCTCCCGAAGCAGATTAGAAAGGTCAGCCTTACTGACAGAAGCTCAAGTGAATACTTCAGAAGTAAAGGAGTACGCCTGTTTGCTGTTATCTGTAACATTCAGAGCCAAGAACGACAGTCACTAACGAGTATCTTGTCCTAGGCTTGGAATCACTGCTAGGTCATCCTCTGTGATTCAGTTCCTCAGAGTTTGTCAACACCATCTGCAGACATCCTGCTCAAAAACACCACTGTGCAGCTCGGGAGTCAAAGCCAGAAGTCCACGAGGCAGGTTCTGGGGCAACATCCTAACGGTGCTGGATCCTCTGCATGAACTAAAAAGGGGAAAAAACCCTTCAATTAAGATCTGTTTCTAGAAAATAATGGCATCCATACACAATAAATAAGATTAATGTGAAATTCAACTTTAGTACATTACCATAAAATGCAACATTAGAGAAATAAAGATTTTAAAGTCTACAGACTTGAGGAAATTGACATTTCAGCTTAAACTTTTGCCTTCAAAACAAAATATCCATTACAACAAATAAGGAACAAGCAAGCAAGCACACATTCTTTAAGGTCTTTAAAAATAAGTAAGTGAAGTTACCAAAGCCAGAACTTACTTAGTGCCAACATCTGACCATAATTTAAAGGGAAAAGAAACAAAAATCTCCTGTACACATTTCTCATTCTCTTGATATACTTTAAATAGTCACAAAAACTTCATATTTAATTAAAATTACATAAACTATACAGTGAACTGGTTATTTTCAAATTAGTTACTTTTCTCAAAAATTTGCAAGATAGGGCCTGGTGCTATAACCTAGCGATCCTTGCCTTGCATGCACCAGGATCCCATATGGGTGCCAGTTCTAATCCTGGCTGCCTCATTTCCCATCCAGCTCCCTTCTTGTGGCCTGGGAAAGCAGCAGAGGACAGCTCAAGCCCTTGGGCTCTGACACCCAAGTGGGAGAACCTGGGAGACGCTCCAAGTTTCTGGCCTTCAGATCAGCTCAATTCCTTCCCTTTGTTAACTGCCTTTCCAGTTAAAACTATGGGGCCCAGCACAATGGCCAAGTCCTTGCCCAATGGATGGAAGATTTTTCTCTGTCTCTCCTTCTCTCTCTATAAAAACAATGCTAAAAAAAAAAAAAATTGAAAAGAAAAATTGAAGTGATGTAAAAATTGAAAAAAAAAAATTAAAATAATCTGTAGTACAGTCTTGTACATGCTAGAAATCCTTACAAATAAAAGCACATGATAGGGCCTGGTGAGATAGCCTAGTGACAAAATCCGCCCGGGGTTCACATATGGGCAGTGGTTCATGTCACGGCTGCTCTACTTCCCATCTAACTCCCTGATTACGGCCTGGGAAAGCACCAGAGGATGGCCCAAAGCCTTGGGTCCCTGCACCTGTGTGGAAAACCCAAAATAAGCTCCTGGCTTCTGCGGTGACTTGGGGAGTGAACCAGAGGATGTGGTAAGATCTCTCTTCTCTCTGTAAATCTTTAAAACAGTTACTTGGAACTCAGCACTTATTACCTATGGTAAAGGAACCACAAACCAAGCAAAGAAACACTAACTTAACAGAAGCACTAACACATTAACTACTGAAACTATCATCAGATGTTTTCTTAGATGACATTCAGTTCCTTCCCACAATGAGAAAGTCAAGCGACTTTGACCTGAAGCTCAGACATAAGACCATCACTAGAACCACTTGCGTTTTCCTCACAAAACACTGGCTAGGTCAAAGATCAAAGGTCAAAGTATTTTCCTACTACACCATCAGGCCAACTGCTAACTTGATACAGACTGTCAAGTTAACTACGGTGCACAGGGAAACTGAGACTTTGGGTCATTTAAGGTAACAACTCTGCTCCTCCACAACTGAAAGCAATATTGTAAATCTAAGCTGTACTACCGCAATCTCTGAGGCTAATAATCCCTAAAATCACTGGCTATTTCACATATTAAAAATGCAGCAAGGCCCAGTGCCAGTGATGATGAGAGAAAATAACTGTTCCTATACAGGAAGATACATGGATATGTTACAAGGAGCAGCCAGTGACAGCCAGCACTGACAGTGAGCACATGGAATGTGGCTGTGTCCCCCACCCTCTGTCCTGAAGGTGGGGCCTGACAACAAGCCACTCCCCTCCACCACCTAGGTAACTGCTCCTGCCCACCTGTGACTCTCACCTTCCATCTGAGAGGGGGCACTATTGTATTGTTGTGTACCACTCCCCTCACTAAGCAGGGTAGAGCCTCTTGATGGGGTGCCTGGTTGGGTGCTTCCGTGGCTGTGGCTCTGGCCCTACCCAGGACAGGTAATCCTCTAAGCGTGGCCTCTGTGTGTCCACATTTATCTTCCTGTTTACTGCTAGGTGGGACAATGATGTTATTTCCGGTTTGTGTGCTATTGGGAGTTCTAGGAGAGGTGAGGCCTAGCAGTGATAGAATGTGGGCAGAGAAGCCAGGGAAAGGTGAAGGCCTGCAACTTTGTAAATGCGTCCAGGTTATTTGTTGCATGTCTGTTGCGGAAGCTGGGACATAGGTTTTCAGCTTAACAGATGGACTTAAGGGTAATGGCCATTTGTTCCACTTGGGGTTGATTTGCTATTTCTAGTGTGCTCTGTTATCACCAAGCCTGGTTAATAAAGGCTCCTTATTAAACCTTAAATATGTCTGGCGTGATCTCGCTCGCACCTGGTAACAATACATTCCCACAATCCCTTATGCAACACTTCTAGGACAAAGTATGTCCTGAAGCTTATAATTTTCCAGACTGTATAGAGGTTATATGACACAGCAACATATGTCACAAAATCCTGAAGCTGTTGGGGCAGCACCCCACAAATAAACATTATCTTTCCTAAGAGAATAAAATTGTACCACTAAAAATGTAGTAATGAATAAATACTAACCCCAACTACAGGCCCTCAACCTGGCTCCAACCGTGCTAAAAACATGTAAAAGCAAGTGGTGGCCTAGGCCAAGCTGGATTTAGATTATGTGTTATACTCCAGAATTTCTTACAGTAAAACAGTAAAACTGTTACAGGCTTATGTTTCTTTAAGATTCAGTTCCTTGAAAGGCAGACAGTGAAAGAGCATACAGCCTGCCATGAACAGATACACCTACTTCCCAAATAGCCGGGCTTGGGCCATTGGGAGCCAGGAGCCAGAAGCTCCATCTTGGTTTCCCAATGGGTGCATAGGCCCAAGTGCTTGCACCATCTTCTGTTACTTTCCCAGGCACATTAGCAGGGAGCTAGACTGGAAGTGGAGTAGCTAGGATCCAAACAGGATGCCAGCATCACCAGCGACCTGACCCAGCCTTGGCAACTGCAGCCGAGAGAGTGACTCAACAGATGGAAGATATCTATATCTTTGCCTCTCCTCGTAACTGTTTTCTTCTTTTTTACTCCCCAAGTGGCCACAACAGCTGCAGCTGAGCCCATCCGAAGCCAGGAGCCAGGAGCCAGGAGCTTCTTCTGGTTCTCCCAGACAGGTGCAGGGTCCCAAGGCTTTGGATCGTTGTCCTCAATTGCTTTCCCATCCAGGAAGCTGGATGGGAAACAAAGCAACCAGGATAGGAACCACCCAGCGATTAAAAGTGAGGATTTAGCCACTAGACTATCACGCCAGGCCAGTAACTGTTTTGCAAATAAACATTACCTTAAAACAGGCCACAAAGTCATTCAGGTATGCTAAATAAATGAATTTAATGACTTAAAACAGATTATACTCAGTGCAATTAAAAATAAAACTAGAGACTGGCATGGTGGGGTAGCACCCTAACCCTTTGCGTGTAATGCCAGCATTCCATATGGGTGCTTGTTTGAGTCCTGGCTGCTCTACTTCCCACACCCACCTCCCCGAAATGGCCTGGGAAGGTAGTAGAGGAGAGCCCAAGTCCTCAGACCCCTGAACCCACATGGGAGAACCAAAAGAAATCCTGGTTCTTGGCTTCGGACCAGCTCAGCTCTAGCCATTACAGACATTTGGCATTTGGGAATGAACCAGTGGATGGAAGGAAGATCTCTCTCTGTAATTCTCCCTTTCCAATAATACAAATCGACCTTTAATTTATAAATTAAACATTTCACCTCTTAGGGTACACACATTTCACAATGTGTGCAATGTGAAAAGTGCCAAGTTCAGGATGACCAGTAACCTTCAAATGCCAATAAACAACATTTCTGTAAAGTGATTCCTTCTTTCCTAAAATTGATACTTGAAACAGACATCCTAAATACTCCAAAAACATTTCAGTCTCTACTGAAGTTTATTACCAAGATTTCTGATGCATTTTAAATATTCTTTTCAATAACTGCACTGTTTTATGCATCATCTTTCTCCCCCCCCCCCCTTAAATTGGAAAGATTTACAGAGAAAGTAGAAACAGAAAAGAGATTTCCATCTGCTGGTTCACTCCACAATGGCTCCAACAGCCAGAACTGAGTTGATCCAAACCCAGGAGCTTCTTCTGGTCAACCGTTAGCTGTCCTTGGTGCATGGAGCCTATAACAACACACGTGGACTAACTGGACTAACGTGCTGGTGAGATAGCCAGAATTTATTAGTGGCATCAGGCTTTATAGACTGAGGCTTACATAGGATAAGGGAGAAGGCGTTGAGGAGCTTACATAAACCCATAAACCTTTCTACAGAACCCATGAATTGTTTCCACACCCTTGCTTGAAACTATTTTTGTTTTGTATATCCAATCAAGCGTCCTTATTCAAATGATATCCAATCAGTTGTTCCAACACAAATGTTATCCTGTCAACTGTCATCCTACGGCCCACTGTCCTTCTACAGATCACAAGGTCCCTCTGCAGTCTCCCACATGGGTGACGATCCCAAGGCTTTGAGCCATTTTTTATTGCTTTATTGCTTTCCCAGGCCACAAGCAGGAAGCTGGATGGAAGTGAAGCAGCTGCAACTAGTGTCCATATGGGATACTAGCACTTGTAGGTGGAAGATTAGCCAGTTGAGCCACTGTGCAGGCCCCTTATGTTATCTCACTGTCTACCTAAATTATCTTCAGGAAGTCACATACCCTACTGTTTGTAGATGCTAACTTTCTGGTTCTCAAGTATTAGGGCATAGTTACTTAAATGCAGCAATTCAACAAGCGTTTGTTTTACGTGTCATCGTACTTCAAGTAGCATAAGCTATTCCAAGACATTATTTGCATTTACTCTCCAAACAGCCCAAATCATTATCCTTTAAAAACACGATGCTTAAACAATTTGCTGAACAAATTCAAAAGCCATTAGACCCAGTAAGTTGAATGCATAAGCAAGGTATATTTTTTAATATTTTAATATCAAATCTGATATCAGATACTTTGAAATCTGCCTTGAGCTCTTATTTCAACTTTTTCTTTAGATTTACTCCCCAAATGTCCACTGCACTGGCCCAGACCAAAGCATGATGCAGCACCTCGTTCTGGGTCTCCCAATGGTGTGGCAGGGCACAAGTACTTAAGCGCTCTCTTGCTGCCTGCCAGGGTCCACGTCAGAAGGAAGCTGTAACTGGGAGTAGTGCCAGAACTAAAGCCCAAGCACTCTGATGCGATATACAAGAACCCCAACTGGCATCTTAACCACCATGCCAAATACCTTTACCTTATTTTCAAATTTTGGCAAGACCTGAGTGAGAAATCTTACTCTACCACAATAAAAAACCAGTGGTGCTAGTATTGTAGCACAGTGTGCAAAGCTACCGTCTAACATGCTAGCATTCCACATGGGCAATGGTTCAAGTCCTGGCTGCTCCACTTCCAATCCAGCCCCTTGCCTGGGAAAAGCAGTCAAAGATGACTCAAGCATCTGAGCTGCTGCCACCAGCATGGGAGACCCGGA